TTCCCTGTGAGTCTATCTAAGTGTTTGTCTAGCTTGTTTACTCTTAGAAACTGATAAACAGGAGCTGGAGCTACATTGGTAGTGTATTTGCCTTGCACTTGGCCAAACCAGGTTTGATCCCCAACACCCCATGTGACCCCCCCTCCCTGTGAACTGCCAGGAATAATTCCTGAGTGCAGAGTCAGGACTAATCCCTGAGCATCACCAGGTATAGCACACCCCACCCAAAAAGAAAAAAAGCCCAACACCTCCATGTGCTTCCTTGGGCTTCACATCGAAGCTACATCTTTATCTATGAGTTGTCCAGGTCCGTCCCTTTCCCTGGAAAAAAATTCTAAAAGACAAGTCACTGGATAAAAGGAAGTCTTATAGCAGCTGCTACTTTATTTAATTCTCTTTTGAAACTGTCAACTGTTCAAAGATCCTTCATTAAAGTGAAGAAAAGGAAGAACATCAGCAGGAGAAGGAAAATGTGGAGTCTCACACACTTGATACCTCCCTGACTTAGTGGTCACCCAAAGTGCTCAGGTCTCACACCCTATCCAGCAACCCAGGGTCTGTACTGGAAGGAGACAGTCACCTCAGAGCTAGGACTCAGAGAGCATGACAGAAAGGCACCTAGAGGCCCCAGAACCTCACAGGGAAAGGTAGGAACTCAGGGAAAACTTGTCTTCAGTGCTCAGGACAGGACTCCTCAGGGCCAACTAACTAAACCTCAGGCCCTCCTGGGGCAGAACCAGAACCCTGGACTCTAGGAACTCCCTCAGCCCCAAACCTGAAAACTTGTACATTTATAAAGTTTGAACTTTGAATTGGGGAGGGATTGTGAAGTCCCTGAGGGCAAAAACACATGAGCTGCGGACCAAGAGGCTGGTCCTCAGAGCCTGGTCTCCGGTGCATCCTAACTGGGCCTCTATTGACAGTGAACCCCATGCTCCGGGAGCCTCTTGGCAGTTGCCTGCCTGTCCCAGCCAGTTGCGTGAACAAAGACTGCTGGGCCTGGAGGACAAAGCTAAGAAGATGCATCTAGCTGGTTTGATATTCTCATGAAATCTATTCCAAACTAGATAAAAATGAAACCTTTTCTTGGGCAAGGGCAAACACCATATTCGTGTCAGCTACCACATATTGGTTTCCATATGCCAGGCATTGTGAGGAGAGGTTTATGTGCCTCAATCCCACAGATCCTCTGACGACTTCTGAGGGAAATACTATTCTGGGCTTTTTTGTTTGTTTGCTTGCCTGCTTTTTTGTGTTTGGGTCACAGCTGGTGGTACTCAGGCCTGATACCTGGCTCTGCATTCAGGGATCATTCCTGGAGAGCTCAGGGACCATATAAGATCCCAGTGACAGAAGCCAGGAAGGAAAGGAAAGGGAGGAAAAGAAATCCTAAGGAAAACCTCTGACCCACTATTCTTCCCTCTCATGGCACAGTAGAAGGCTGAAAAAGAAAAACCTGTCAGCAGAGGGCATGCAACTTGGGCCCTGGAGGTCTAACTGCAAAGCCCCACGCCCATGCTCTGCTGACCAGTAAGAGCAAGGGGGAGCAAGAATTCCAGAAGCAAACATTTCAGGGAAATTCTAAATAAGTGTTTTTGTACCCTGCTCATTATTCTCAAATCTGTTACAAATCCTCCAGTATCAAATTGTTCAAATTGTATGGATCAATCAATCACTTTAACATATTGGCCTTGCAAAATATCCTGGGTCTATCAGTCCACAGGGTTGCTGGAAAGAAATGAGCAACAGGACCAGAGAGATAGTAATAGGGATACAGTACTTGTTTTACAGATTGTTGACCCCAATTTGATCCCTGATACACCATATGGTCCCCCTGAATACCAGCAGGAGCACAGTCAGGAGTAAGTCCTAAGCACAGTGTGGTGTAACTCAAACACACACAAACACCCCCAAAAGGTGACAGATTAGCAAAGTCCACCCAGGCAAATTACCTCATTTCACAGAAGGAATTTGATTCAGATCTTAATAGTGAATCAGAACAAAGGTGAGAATCATCTAAGCCCTCACTCCCAGTTCAGGGCATATTCCAGGCCATCGCCCTGCAATCGGGAGGTATAAAATTAGACCGTGGAATCAGACACTTTGCATCAGAAACGCTCAGTTTTCTCTCACTCTGTGAAGCTGGTTTGGTATGGGGATGTAGTGCAAGGTGTTGGCAGAACCACAAATGTTCTCCTAAGAGGACTGTAGCCATGGCCCCCTCATGCTCTAGAAGCTTCTGACTCTCCTCCCTCTGGGCCCATGGGAGTGTCACCTGAGCCCCGTGTGTGGAGAGCTGATGTGACAATTGTCACTTCACTGCCACAGTGGGATGCTCTGGTGTGTTCTTCCCGGTGCTGCTTAGATAGGGAAGGCTTCACCCATCACAGTCTTTGAGGAGTAAGCCCTGGCCTCCAGCTCCTGAAGATCTGCAGTGACTGTGCAGCCTGAGGTGGGCACTGAGGTTTTGAGGCTGAGTGTTTCTGCAATGCAACTATCCCATCTTCACTGATGCAACAAGAGCTTCCCAGAGTGGGTGATACCATGCCCAGAGAGGGGTACTGGAACAATCCAGGGAGAGATGGCAATCTTCGGTGCAACTTGGGAATAATTTTTCCTCTGTTTAATCAAATAAGGTAGATTTGGAGCTGAAATTGAGTAATATTTTTTCCCTAAAAGGGGGCAGTAGGTCAAATGAATCCAGGAACCTCCACACCAAGGAAAAAACAGCTGCTGTTTCCCAGTCTACACCCCTATTGCAGAGCCCAACTTATTCCAAATCTGGAAGCATCGTATTTTCCAAGCAAAAAATTATTTCTGAGGCAATAGTCTGTGGCCAACTAAGCGGATCACAATGGCACTAATGTCCATAAAGGTGTTATTCTCAGACTCTTCGTGTAAGAGGAAACCAAACTTCCAAGTTCCTGATGCAGCTTTTCAGCCAACACAGCTGTTAAATGGAAGAGAAGGGACCCTCCTCCCCCAGACCTTCTACCCAGCTGCACACAACTGAATCAATCAGTGTGGAAGTGCTTTTGAGAAGCAGCCCTGGGGGATGGAAGCTTATGGGATGGCAGAGGGGAAGGGGAAAGCTACTTTAGCCTGAGAGGGCATGAGCGGAGGGAAGAGCAACAGCACTGCTCGAGGGGCTCTAGGTAAGGAGGAGTATCCGGGGTCCCAGGCAGGTGTGAGTGAGGAATGGAAGGGAGGTAAGGCAGGATGGCAGTCATTGCTCACCCCAAAGGGCCCCCATACCCCTGTCATGGTTTTTGTGAAAGACAAGAGTGACATCATTGTGGTGTGAAGTTGTCCCCTCACACACACACCCCCCCCACACACACACACAGACAGACACTATACATGTGTCTGGGTCAGAGCTGAGAGGGCAAAGGAATCTGTGAATCCACCTTCCCCTAGACTGTGCCCTCGCCCTGAATGTGGGCTAGGATCACAAACAAGCTTCCCCTCAGCTCCCCAGATAGTAGGTTCATCTTTGTCTTTAAGTCCCAGTGTTTCCCAAAGCTCTCAGACAGTAAGAGACACATTTGGGTCCACTGAAAGGTGAGGGAAGGAAAAGAGACTCTGATAGGAGAGAGGAATGAGGAGAAACACCCCAGGGAGCAAGGATGGGATCGGGCATACAACTGGTCAAAAATGAGGAGTAGGATTTGTCCAGAAAAGGGTGAACATTTTCCTATGACGTCGAATTAATTCATTAGGAGGAATGAGAAGGGAATAAGGCAGTCCTGGAACCAGACAGGCCATCCATAGGGAGTTAAAACTTAGACTTAGGTCACTCTTGCATGAACTGGGGCTATGAGGAGCTTACACCTTTTCAAAGTTAAAGGTAGATTCGTCTCTTGTTTCTCCTTTAGATCAAGAGTCAGGCCCAAAAGATGCATGGCCTGCCTGAACAAGACTCAGGGCCTTGGGATGCTCAGGTTCCTTCCTGGGAATAACCAGCAGTTCTCAAAGAGACTGTGAACCCAATGAGAGCTAGGGAAACCAATGGTGAGGAAAACGCAGCCTTGTGTCGGGCCCCACTCTTATGAAGAAGTCAATGGTCTCACATTGTCAGCCTGCAGCTCCTACCTACATGAAACAGCCAATAAGCACTCAGACTGCCAGCCCACAATCCCACACTTCATGAAGCAGCCAATAAGCACTCACACTGACAGCCTATAGTCCCTCCCTTCACGAAGCAGCCAATGAACATGCCAGAGCCGGGTTTTCCTCCCTTTGCAGCACTGCCTTCTCATCAGTTGTACTAGAAAGCAATAGAAGGCTCCAAAAAGGGAGTGATTGACTCGCATGACCAGGGTTCAATCCTGCGAGCTGGAACTCTACTAGATCGTGTAATATATTCTATTTTTTAAAAAAATGTAATTGTTCATGTGTTGATATGGTCTTAACAGCAATGATATTGGTGAGGTAATTACCTCACCACCACCACCAAAGTGTCCAGCATCCCCACACACCACCCCCTACCCCAATAATCAGTGACTTCTGTGTGGCTCCTTAAGATACATGACCAGAAGTTAAGCTAACTGTTCTGTGGAGTTGACATATTCAAGATCTATGGCCCTCGGAGCTCTAAGAAACATCTTCTGTCTTCGCTCACACCTACAGCCCATTAGTCGTAATTCGTGAAGGGGTATGGCATGTCCCCCGTACTCATCTCTCTTACTGCTGCAGCCCCAGCACCTAAGCAGGACCCAGCATTCACCTGGTTCCCAAAACTACTCAGTGAACAAAGGAACCTGGACTACGATGGGATCAATCAGCCAGGGAAAGATATAACCTAGACATTGCTTTCTTTGACACTCCAAGGCTCAGGTCCATCTGAATCCAACCTTGACTCTCAACTGCAGAGCTGAGAGGCGCCTGATGTCCCCCTCTTTCCAAGAGGGGGTGACCCACCCAGTCCCCATGGCTTCCTCAGCTCCCTGCCAGTCAGACAGCTTCTCCTCTGGGTAGTATGGAGGGAAGGAGGGGAGGAGATGAGGGGGACAAACCACAGCACCACAACAGAGTTCGTCCTTCTGGGGCTCCAGGAGCATCACGCCCTCGAGCTGGTCCTGTTCCTGTGCTGCCTGGGCATCTACTCCATGAATGTGCTGGGAAACTCCCTCCTCATCGTGCTGAACATGCTGGACCCCCGCCTGCACACCCCCATGTACTTCTTCCTCAGCAACCTCTCCCTCATAGACATCTGCGGCACCTCTGCCTTTGTGCCTCTCATGCTGGTCAACTTCCTGAAAGTCCAGAAGACCATCTCCTTCCCTGGCTGTGCCCTGCAGATGTTCCTCACCTTGGCCATGGGCTGCATAGAGTGTCTGCTCCTGGCCGTGATGGCCTATGACCGCTATGTGGCCATCTGCCGGCCACTGAGGTACCCAGAGCTCATGAGCATGCGGATCTGTGTGCGGATGGCCCTGCTGAGCTGGGGCACAGGCTTTTCCAACTCACTGCTACAGTCTAGTTTCACCTGGAGCCTCCCCTTCTGTGGCCACCATGTCATCAACCACTTCTTCTGTGAGATCTTGGCTGTGGTCAAACTGGCCTGTGGGGACATCTCTCTCAATGCCCTGCTATTGATGGTGGCCACCGTCGTCCTGACGTTCACCCCCTTTCTGCTCATCTGCCTGTCCTACATCTTCAGCCTGGCCACCATTGTCAGGGTCCCTTCTGCTGCAGGCCGGCGCAAAGCCTTCTCCACCTGCTCTGCCCACCTTACCGTGGTGGTGATTTTCTATGGGGCCATTGGCTTCATGTACTTCAACCCCAGCGCCAAGGACCCCCAGTGGGATAAGATTATTGCCCTGTTGTATGGGATCTTGACCCCCTCCCTGAACCCCATCATCTATAGCCTGCGCAATGCAGAGGTGAAGGCTGCTGCCTCCATGCTGCTGCGGGGAGAGCTGCTCTCCAGGAAGCTGTCCCACCTCTCCTGCTGGCCTTCCCGCTTGGGCTGATGGGGGCCTGGTCTTGTGGGCATGACGTATAGCCCTTAGTGGCATCACACTGCCATGACTGGCTCCCCTCCCCCCACTGCCTGCCGGCTGTCTGATTACTGGAGACTGCTGGGTCAGGATGGGGGTCAGCTATTCTCATCCTCGCTCCCTAGACTTGGGATGATTAAGTTAGTACCATCTGGAATTGCTGGTCATCAGGACAAAGGCAACAAGTTAGTCTGATATTTAGAGCTTCTGCTTATGATTTAGCCAATGCAGTCACATTGCCGAAGTGAGCAATGGTCCCCAGGAGCAGGGGACCACAGCCACCTTCATCTGGAATCCAGGAATTCTCTAATGGTTGCCACACCAACATACAAAACACTTGCCTTCCTGTCACACCCTCTTTGTCTGGCTCCATGAGCTCGTGGTGGTGACTTGTTTGGGGGTGAGATACCCAGGGTGGACCTGTGCTTCCCAGGATTTCCCTCTATTCTGCTCTGGGCTTGGGGGTGGGGGAAAAGGGGCACCAGAGAAATCTGCAGGAGGTTGGTTAGGCAGGGCAGAGGCAATGGGACCACTCCAGTGCACTCCCAATCTCTCTTCTCTCTCTCTCTCTCTCTCTCTCTCTCTCTCTCTCTCTCTCTCACACACACACACACACACACACACACACACACACACCTACTTTAGCTGTCCCTGTCCATGGTCAAGGCAAGGAGCATTTGCTTCTCCCAGAGGTCACAGGGTCACAGAGACAGACACAGTTTCCAGATTCCCATGGGCCAGTTTGTCCTTATTGCTCCCCCTGCCTGCTGCTCAGGGGCATTGGGACTAGCACCAAACGCAGTTTAAGGTTTTGTGCAGACACCGACACACTCGGTCAGGTCTGATCTCTACAACCAACCCCTCAGTTACCCAGAGCACTTCTGCCACTTGGGTCAAATGCCAACTTACCACTCCTCAGAGTACCCTATGTTGATGCCCCCTTACCACAGCATGAAGCCCACCTTCTCCAGCTGTGTCTCAGGTCTTCTAGACCCCGTGGATTCTTTAGCCTCTTTGTCCAGCAAGCTCTTCCCCTGGTCCGCCCACTTGCTGCATTCCCACTCATGCCTGCACTGTGTCTGTTTCTTCAGATGAGGAAATTCTTCAAAGGTCTAGAGATTTGGTTATCACTCTCTCCTCCCCCCGCCCCCCTCTCTGCCCCTTGCCCTGGGGCCTTCCCTCTGCCTGGCAGGTGAGATGCCATGTGAGCTCTGGAGGGCAGCTTCAGCTGGCTCAGTGTTCTCGATGCAGTTCCATGAAACCTCTCTCTCTTCCTCTCTTCCAAGAATTTTTCTGAGCTGGGCTGTTTTTAGACACCCGCATTCGGTCACCATCTGCTGCAGACAGATGTGGTATAGATGGTGGGGACTGGCATCTGAAGTGTCCCCCCAACTAAAACAGGCAAGACACATGCCCACTTGGATCAAGAAGAACAGGGCTGACAGCTTAGCCTGGCCCTTCCTTAAAAGAATCCCACAGGCACATCAAGTCAAACTATCCAAAAGAGAACTCCTCATCCTGCCCCCGTCAATCAGCATGCCAGAAAATGGCACTATCACCCCCAAGACATAAAGACAAACATTGGCAGCCCTCAGACTCCCCTCTCCTCGCCTCCAAGTGCCATCTCATGGCTATTTCACCACCCCTGCTCTCCACTGACGTGTCTCTAGTCTTCAAGTGTCCTTCGTGTCTCTAGTATTCAAGTGTCACACATCCCTCACCTCTCTCCAAATGCTGCACTAGCCTCCCCAGCACCCACCACATCCCGCTGCTCTTCCCACCGAGGGATCCCCGTTTCCCAGGAGGCAGGACAGACACCATTTCTCCGTCCCCTGTCACAGCTGTTGGCTACTCTCCACAGCCCCAGTGGTGCTCCTGCGCTGGCCAGGCCTCAATACAAGCGTTCTTCCCAGTGCCCTGAACAATGTCCACCTCTGTGGTCTGTGTCCCCCTCTGGCTGGTCCCTCAGGCCTCACACTGCTTGTCCTTCAGCTGACATGTAGCAGATCTCGGTCACAAATCAGGTGAGGACCATGCCCTGTGCCACATATTCTATTGACCAGCAATGAGGCTCAGGATGGAACTTTTTAGGGGTGACTCCCATACACACACACACACACATATACACAGATTCACTCACATGTACACTCACACATACACATTTTCATATTCTCATATTCTCACATTCACAAACACTCACAATACACTCACATAGACATACATACAGACTCACTGACATACACATCCTCACATTCGCACACATACATTCTCACATTCACATACAGACTACTCAAACATCCACATACACAACACACACATAGGCTCACACACAGTCACATATACACACATTCACATACGTATATACTCACACACAGACTCACACACCCATATATGTACACATTTACACACATACACATTCTTGCATTCACATACATATACACTCAAAGACACAGACTCACATACACTTACACACATACATGTTCACACACACATCCACATTCTCATATTCACATATACATATTTGTACATTCCTACACACATGTATATACATACTCTCACACATTCTCTCATTCACACACTCATTCTCTCTCCGGAAACTCAGCTCTGTGAGCACATGTCTGGTACTCTCACTATATGCATCTTTGTTGATGGAATATTTCTGAAGCAGGGAAAGAACAAGACCCTCTCCTGGGTACTGAACCCCAGCATGGGAGAGCAAAACTCTCATACCACGGTTCCCATTGCTCATTAAATCTGGATCCCCATGACCCTAGGGGAATCCTCTTTTTCTTGATTCTCGCACCCTTGGCCCCAGGAAACAAGAGAGCACAAAACCAAGAAATCTTCATTGGAGGCACACCACTCTCTACCTGCATCAATCCAGGTTCCAGCCTTGGCCTCTGCCCTCAGCAGGGTCCACCATCCCTCCCCCAGCAGGGCACAGCCTACACGCAGTCTCTGCACAGGAAGCCAAGGCAGTAAGGAGCCTTGAGAGCTGAAGGTGCCTCATCCCCGAGGTTGACCCCATTTCCTGAGGAATGAAGCTGTCTTCGGAGGCTCCATCTTCCTGGGAAGGGAAAGTCCTTGCTGCGGAGGGGACGCTGGCCCCCGGAGCCTTCAGTCCTTCTGTCCTCTAAAGACACCCTGGGCTGGGGCCGCAGCTCAGCTACAGAGAGGCAGAGTGCTTGCCTTGCACGGATGAAGCTCTGGGATGGATCCCCAGCACATAAAAACAAAAACAAGACCCAACAGCTAAGAGGGGCTCCATGAAAGCAGAAGGACCTGTGGCTTCGGCACATACTCTCAGTCCCCTGAGAAACTCCAAGTCCTCCAGAGTAAGTCAATGTCCTCAAAAAATACAACTTGTCTCTTGTCTCGGGGTGGGGAGTGTGTGTGTGTAGGGGGGGGGGGGGGTGATGGTCCAGGCCTCCAGGAACCACCCCAGAGCTTTCTGCCTCTTCCAGAGTGCCAGTGCCCCATGGTTCAGGCCCCAGGCCCCCTCAGCTGGTACAGATGCTGCTGACTGTGGCCCCTCCGGGGCCCACCAGGCCCAGCTCCTCCTGCTCGTTGATGCACAGCTGGTAGCCGCAGCCCCGGGGCCGTGCTCCTGAAGGGACCCGGGGGTCAGTCTTGGCACGCGGGGGCAACAAGAAGCCCACACTGCCAGCGATGAGCATATGCCAAATGCTGTGGATGTAGAAGTAGTTGTCTCGGGTCTCCACAAACGCATAGAGCAAGATGGCACTGCCTGCAATGAGGCTCCCGGGACACAGGTGGAAGAGCCAGCGGCGCCAAGTCGGCGGATAACAGTGGCGGCGGCGGACGCTGCGGATGGTCTGGGGGAGGCAGAGAAGGGGGTGCTCAGCCATGGGCTGGCTCTCCCAGGCTTCAGCTGAGCCTGACTCGTGAGCTGCCAGCATCTGCCAGCAGGAGCTGACAGACCCTGGATTTCACTCTCTGTCAGCCCCAAAACTCGTGTGTGCCCTTTCTTTGCAAAATTGTATACAGAGTATAGTAATAAATGATTTTTAAGTAATAGTGGAACCATTTTTTTAAGCCTCACATAATAGAAATGAAGATCATGAGACCTGGTCTTCAGTAGGAAACTGCCCATGTGGGGAAGAGCATACCATCCACCATAACAATGATGGAAGAAAGTGACCACCTTGGAGGAGGTCGGGGTGCTGAAAGGTGGTAGGGTGTCATACGTAAAACCCTATCAGTAACAGTACTGTAAACCACAGGACCAAAAGGAAAAGAAAAAAAAATTTTGGAGGTGTCTACCCTGAACCTGAAGGCAGGCTGAGGGGTTGGAGGGAAACTGGGGCCATCAGGGGAGGGAAGAGGACACTGGTGAAGGGATTGGTGTTGGAATGTTGTATGCTTAAAACTCAATCATGAATACATTTGTAATTCATGATGAATCAAGAAGAAAAAAGAAAAAAACAAACAAAAATATGCCTCACAGAATGGTCACACAAAATGCCCCCAAAAAAGTGGGTCATAAAATCTGCATCAATTCTGCAGTAAAATTCAGTGTGAGCAGGATAGCAATGACTCCAGGATCAATGCACCTACACCATAAGTAGGGGACCAGCCACTCAGGTCCCTGGGACACCATCCTCACTTCCCACCCCCCACAGAGCCCCTACTCCTTACCCAAGCCGTGGCCAAGATGCCCAGGGCAAAGAGACTGGGGCCGAGCAGGTTCCAGAGTCCATGGCGGTCCAGTTGCAGTGCCATGGAGAGCAGCATGGCCCCCAGCAGATACAGCACCTAGGGAAAGAGAACTCCAGGGTCCCAGCCACAATGTGGGCAGGGGCACTGGCAGGTGCTGGGGAGAGGCTGGGCGGGCACTGCAAGGACACTCTGGCTGTGGTTGCCCACCCCCAACACCCTGGGCCCACCCTGCACCGACCTGCTTGACCACAGGCTGTAGACGAGCCATGGCGATGACAGTGACCCACACAGACATGAGGGAGCCCAGAAAATCACAGAACTGCAGCACATCGTAGTCCATGATGCAGAACACCACGATGCCCGGCTGATCGCAGGCATGGTAGAACTGGAGGAAGAAAGGACAGGCGTTGGGGGAACTCGGAGTACAGGCAGGGGTGGAAGAAACCTGGAGAAGGTTATATGGCCACTGCAGTGCTGGCACTGGCATGCAGCAGTCAGAGACCCCGATTCCGAATTGGATTCCACCCTCCAACCCAAGCTGTGCAGTCATAGTAAGAAACAAAGGTATCCCCCTGGCCTGGGAAGAGCACAGAGCTCCCCTCCACAGGAGCAAGCTCCCCTACATGGAGGGGAAGGAGAGACGCTACTGAGAAGAGTCAAACGGCAGTGAGGATCTAAGAGGAACTGGGTCCAAAAATATCCCGAGCCCCGGAGAGAAGGTCCAAAGTTATGGAGACATTCCTGACATGTCTGAGGCTCCAGGTTCGATCCCCACCACTGTCTGGTCCCCAGAGCACTTCCTAGTGTGATCCTGGAATCCCTCCAACAAACACCGCAGCACTGGGTCAAGCACTAAACTATCGGCACCAAACCAACTAGTTGAGCATGGCCAGGATATTTTTTCCTTAAGATCTGGTGATTGAATGTGCTTTATCTCTGTCCCTTACAAGTCCCTGGGTCCTTTGGGGTGATATAACTCCTGAGAATGAGAAAGAAGTTGGTGTTCTTGACAGGGTTGGACTAAAACACATCAGACTGATGAAAGGAGGGTAGGAAGGCTCAGTGGGGAGGTAGCAGATCATAGTTTTTGAAGTGGCTTGAGAACTCACAGGTACCTTAGCTACTCCTCTCAGCCCCACTCAGTATCTGCATTCTATTTGGAGGTACCCGAGGACACTGAGCCCCTGAGAGAGGTCCCTCACAGACCCCAGACAGGCAAGAATCAGGGATCTCCAGAAGCTCAGCCCTGAGTCAGGGGAGAGGGCAGGGGTGTCCACAACTGAGGAGAGAGACAGAAGAAATTCATTCACTGGCCTCAGTGAGGCCTCCCCACACTCAGGGCAAAAGGGAGACAACCTGAGAACAAGAATAGGAAGACAAGAGGAGCAAGACTCCAGGGGGAAAGGAGCACAAGGTTCTGAAATCATATCACAAAACCTCACATCCAACCTTGAGCAAATAACATCGCCCCTGTGAGCCAGATAGAAACTAAAGCAGATTGGCCATCAAAATGGGCAGATCCACACCAGATTCAGAGCAGGGAAACAGCCTCAGAAGCTCAGGCTCTGGAGGCTAAAGAGGAGAAAGATATCACTGGCCTTTCTCTGGGTCCTGGTGAAAGGTTCCGCGAGTCATTCAAACTGCAAACAGTATAAACTTCAACAAAGGGCAAGGATAAATTCTAAGAGGAGTGTGAGAGCCTAAATCTTTAGGGAAAGAAATAAAAATTTAAAAGAAATGTTGAGGGTGCTGGAGAATAGCTCAACAGGCTGTTGTTACATAGCACATGTTTTACATGCAGGAAGTCCGGGTTCAATCCCCAACACCCCATAAGGTCCCAGAGCACATCAGGAATGATTCCTGAGCACGGAGTCAGGAGGAAGAAGCTCTGAGGACTGCCAGGTGTGGCCCCAAAACAAGAAAGGGAAAAAAGAAAACTTTGGGATAGTACTTGGTCATGGGAAACTTTAGGCTTAAGTCTTTCCAATCTTTGGTGCAAGATTTAAATGTCCGTACCTACCTTCTTCATTTTAGAGGTAAAGTAGCTGTCCCTTAAGGAAGAGACTGCCTGGAAACAGCCATAATTTAAGTTCAAAAGGCATATAACTCTGGGAACGTGGTTTTCTCTAAAGATACAAACGAAGAAATTGAGTTCTTACTGGGAAACTGACTTCTGAGGGGACCACATCCCCATTAAAAGGAATGTTTAACCGTGTCTAAAAGGTGTTTATTTTTCATGTCTTTGTTTCTCTGAAATGTGATTATTGGGAAGTCTTTTGTTCCTAAACAAAACTATATTGTAGGGTGTTTTTATTTTTAATTTTATCTGTAGGGCATTGATTCTCTGCCTTCAAGACCAGATATAAGTACTATAGGCCACTACATACATTACCCAAAGCTGTTTTATGATTTGGATTTCATTGTAAAGCACTGATTGTACATTTAAGGTTTAACCAAGTACTTATTCCCTTTTCCTGACTTTCACTCAGAGAAGAGGGAATGCCCAGATACTCTTGGAGGGAAGGGGGAACTTATATATCCGTTCATCTCAGATAAGGGAGACTCTATATTAGTAAAAGAAAAGCTAAATTACCTCATTACTGAGGACACACCTAAGGGAGTAATTAATTGAAGGTTAATTTTCCTCTAGGAATATCTCTGCACTGAATAAAACGCTGAAGATAATAGAGATATTATCTCTGGAGAAGGAAGGTTAGGGGAACTCGCTTCACTAATATTCAATGACTGATTATTTAAGTATACTCAAAGGCCAAAGACACTGTTTAAGGTTGCAGAAAATCCATAGGGGCAACATTAAGTTTAAATTGCAGCACACAAAAAAAATTTTAATTACAGTGTGAGGGGACCAAGGATGTAGCTTAGTGGCAGGCTTGCATGTGTAAGGTCCTGAGTTCAATCCTTGGTGCCACAGGAAAATAATTAAAAAGCATAGTGAGAATTTTTGTTCCACTGAAAATTGTGGGCTAATTTTCATATTGGTACTTATTGTTTTTGCTTTTATTCTTTTTTTGGGGGGAGGGTGTAGAGGAAGGATGTGAGAAGTGAGTTTGATCCACATCTAGCAGTGCTCAGGGCTTGCTCGTGATCCTGTGTTTAGAAAGCATTCCTGGCAGTGCTCCGGGGGACCATATTTGGTACCAGGGATTCATACACAAGGCAAGCACCTTAACCACTGTACTATCTCTCTGGCCCAATCTATGAGTTGATTGTGGGGGGAGAGGCAGGAGGGAGAGCAGGGGACGGGGGAGCCGAAGCACACAAGTGGTGCTCATGAGTCATCCTGGTGGTGCTTAGGGAGCTGTATGTGGTGCTGGGAATCAAATCAGGGTCAAAGTGGCCCATGCAAAGCAAGTGCCTTATCTCCTGTACTATCTCTCTAGCCCCTGTAAGTTTAGATCTTTTCACTGGTCCTTCTTAGCATCTAAAAATTTGAGAACCAGTACACTGATGCCAGAGGTTGATATATACTGCAGGACAGCTGAGAAACTGCAGTCAGGTGAGGAATTTAACCAAGCACATTCACTGCCCCTGAGAGAGGGAAAGAATAGAGCTTGAGGGGCCAGAGTGACATTACAGCGGGAAGGGTGCCTGCTTTGCACACAACTGACCCCTGGTTCAATCCCCAACATCCTATATGGTCATTACAGCAGGGAGGGTGCCTGCTTTGCACACGACTGACCCCTGGTTCAATCCCCAACATCCTGTATGGTCCCCTGAGCACTGCCAGGAATGATTCCTGAATGCAGAGCAAGGAGCAACACTTGGGCATTACCGGCTGAGACTCCAAAACCAAAACAAAACAAAACAAAAAAGAATAGAGCTGGGTGAAGAAATCTGAGTCAGGCATAAGGAGAACTTCGGTTCAATTCACCTTCAGTAAAACACTTAAGCGTCCCCTCCTCCATGGAAAGGTACAAATAGGCTGGGTGTCTCTCCATAAGGATAGTGCTAGCAGGAGCCTGCAGTCAGCCATCTCTGCCACAGAGCGCTGATTCAGTCTCAGGATACTAAGTTATAAAGTACAGCCTGTGGATTGTGGTTTTAATGGCAACAACAACAACAACAACAATCTTAGATCATATCTGTAAACTCCTGTAGAGTAAATTTGCTCCTGTGGCCCAGAGAGGAACTAATGCCCTATCGAAGGGCGGAGCCTCTCTGAATTTGAAGTCAGAGAAGAAGACTGTCATCTACTTTCCTGGGCTGCTACCTGCCATGAGAGTCCTGGTAGGGAGGAACCCAGGGAACACCAGGTAACCAGGAAAGCTGTAGCTGTATACTTCAGTCCTTGTGGGAAAGAACATGGGTTTGAACAAGGCACTAGAAAATATCACAAAGTCGTGATCTTTTGCTTATTGCTGCACTAAAAAAAGTGGAAGCTCAGTATGTGGTGACAGTCACTCTCGGCTGCCCTGTGATCCTAATGGGGTCAGGGGAGGACTTTTATTTGCAGTTGGAGACAGATCTTATTCAGAAAATGGGGTGTCTAGGACTGGTCACACTGTAGTCAAAGCGCAGGGGTGCTGGTGCAAAGCCCTGGAGAATGGACACACGCTCTCCACAGGCTCCAAGAGAGACTTGGATCCTCTTTCTAGCTGTGACCCACAGCAGATCTGCACCGAGCCACGAGGGAGCTGGGCAAACAGCTGTTGTGCGAGTGTCTGACAAGCGACCGTATAAAAGGCATCTGAAAATAGAAGGGAGAAACCCGCTCTGGTATAAAAATAGAATGAGGCACTGTCAGAGCAGACCTAAAAGGGGAGCCAGTCAGGCCAAACGAGGGTGTGCTATCATCACACTGCTGAGTGACCTGCATCTCTCTCCATAGCATGGTTACAGCCAATGCATCCTTATCGGCAGATGAATGTCCAGAAGGACTCTAGGATATGATCCTCAGTTTCAGAACATTCTCACACACAAATGTGCAGGGATTTTGCTGATTTGGATATCTGAGGCATTCATGCCGAGAGCAAGAAGTCATGGTGTTAGGTTCTGTTCCGTCCTTCTTGTCATGACCCGAGGCAAGTCTGACTCCATCTCAGATTTCTGCTGTCACTGTATGGCACCTGAGGCCAAGAGCCCCGCATAGAAAAACAAGATGAAGCATCTCAGAGAGGAAAAGTCTATATGAGCCCAGGGACATAACTCCAAGGGCTAGCATGCAGGCTTTGACTGTGGGATCCCTAGATCTGATCCCTGGCACCCCAAGGTTCCTGCCCCCATCCAGTACTACCAGCTGTGGCCCAAAATATGTGTATATATATAATGTATTTATTATACATATATATGTTTAATTGATCATATCAGCAGGCTCACTCCTCTACCTTCCTCACAGCACCTGAGGAGACTCACCTCTACCTTCTTCACAGCACCTGAGGAGACTCACCTCTACCTTCTTCACAGCACCTGAGGAGATTCACCTCTACCTTCCTCACAGCACCTGAGGAGACTCACCTCTACCTTCCTCACAGCACCTGAGGAGACTCACCTCTACCTTCTTCACAGCACCTGAGGAGATTCACCTCTACCTTCCTCACAGCACCTGAGGAGACTCACCTCTACCTTCCTCACAGCACCTGAGGAGACTCACTCTTCTACCTACCTTACAGCATTTGAGAAGCCAGCTTGTGAGATAAACTTTAGTGAGAAATGATAGGGGAAGGATAGCGGACTGTTTGGAACTGGATGACAAGATTTAAAAAACTATGGTAATCATCACCAAAATATGCTCCATTCGGGTGGGCTTTTGTTTCACTGCCACCTCCCAGGAAACCTCAAAAAATGAACATGCCTCAACACCCAGTAAGAGAGAACAAAAAGGGAATGCCCTGCCACAGAGGCAGGGTGGGATGGGGGGATGGGGGTGGGAGGGATACTGGGATCCGTAGTGGTGGGAAATGGGTACTGGTGGAGGGATGGGCATTTGATCATTGTATAACTGAAACCCAAGCACAAAAATGTGTAAGTCTGTAATGTACCTCATGATGTCTCACTATTAAAAATTTTTTAAAAAATGAACGTGCCTGTGAGGCATCTTAGGATGCCAAGAGCCAGGCAACATATAAATTATCCAACTATGGAGCTGCCCTCTGTCTTGCTCTGGGAAGTTGAGAAGGCCGTAGCCACTGCATGAGTCACTGTATTCTCACCTCATGAAGAAAGACATGCTAATGGTGTGCACATTCCTACACCCAACAGGGCACCACACAGGTGAGTCGGGGCCCTCGCATCGTGAAAGCATGTGAGGAGAGAGAAGACTTTACCTGAAGAAATGGGGTGCAAAGATCCAACCCCAGCAAGGGGAGCATGGAGAGGACAGGGACAGGTTTCCCCGGACCTGAACAGGAAGCAGAGGTCCCCTCAGCCCTCGGGGTGGACAGACAAGGCTCAGACAGCAGCCGCTCCCCACCTGCTCCTGTGACTGTTATCTTAAATAGCAAACAGCCTTGTTCTCTTAGCCCCATGAGCTTTAAAAAGCTCCTCCCCAGAAGAAAAAAAAAGAGACAGATGAGAAGCAATGGGGGGGCCAGGTCAGGGGGTTAAGGTACAAAGAGGGTGCTAAGGACTGATAGAGCCTAATACCCAAACCACAGAGTCAACAACACTGAAATCAAGAGACCGAAACTGGAACAGAGGAATAGTATAGCAGGTAGGGTATTTGCTCTGTATGTGACCGACTTGGGTTCAAGCCCTGGCATCTCATATGATCTCCTGAGCACCACCAGGAGAAAGTTCTGAGTGCAGAATCAGGAGTAAACCCTAAGCATCACTGGGTGGCACCCAAAAAGAAAAAAAAAGAAAAAAATCAAGAGACCCAAACTTTCACAACAGAACTTAGAAAGGAACCTGTCAAGAGGGCAGATGGGACAGAACCTGAGAACTCTGGTGGAGGGAAGCTGACACTGTGGGAGGGATCGGTGCTGTGATAGTGCACATCTACACCTCAACCATCAATAACTTGGTAAATCACGGTGCTTTAATTTTTTTTAAAAAGTGGAAAATATAAATAAGTAAAAAAGCTTTGCCTGTCATCATCTGGAAAGGGGGGGGTGGGGGGGTGCCTGGCTGTAAAAGAGAGCAAAAGAGGAACTACCGAGATGAGACGGGATCACCGTTTCCCAAAAACGAAGGGGAACTCGGCGGCAAAGGACTCTCGGGGGAGGCCGCGGTGCGCACGCACCGTGGAGAAGAACATGGTGAAGGCGTAGACGGCGGCTTCCAGAACATAGCGGCTCCGGATGGCGAGGACCACGGGAGGCAGGAACATGAGGTTGCTCAGGCACAGCAGGAGCGTGGACAGCAGCTGGAAGCCGTAGGTGAGCGCATCCTCACTGTCGGTGCAGCCCCAGCCCCGCCACCCTGCAGGGGTGGTGCAAGGACCCAGGGGGTAAGAGGATGAGGACCTTAGGCTGACAGCTGCCCTCCCGCCAGGCCCCCCCAAGTCCCCGCCCCCCGCGCTCACCGGCCTTGCACTCGCAAGCCGCGTACAGGTAGTTGTGCGTGCGCAGCAGCTTGCACTGGCCGTAGGGCCCGCAGTCGTCCACGCAGGGGGACAAGAAGGTCCGCAGCCGCACCTCTGCCGTGGCGTTCCGGCACCGCACGAACCTGCGTGGAGGGCACAGGCTCCGGATCACTGGGGGCGGCCCCACCCTGGGGAGGGGTGCGCCCTCCCTGGCCCCGCCCCTCCCATCCCACCCCGAGTCTCTCACCGAGGCCCCACCCCACACAGCGAGCGCAGGGTGAGAAACCAGGTCCCCGTCTGTGGGAAGGGGATGCGCAGCCTGGCCGTCCTGGAGTCGGCACTGACGGAGAGGAGAGAGCCGGCCAGAGACTCTGAGGGGAGAAGCGAGGGGCCCGTGTGGGGGCAGCACCCCAGGTCCCTCGCCTCGCCCCCTTCTCCCTCCGCTCCATCCTCCGCAGCCCGTGGCCCTGACTTCCAGGCCCCTCTCCCTTCCCGCTCCTCACCCCACCTTTGGAGCAGGTCACGGCTGCGTCCCCCAGGCTCAAGGGCACCTCATGAGTCAGACATCCGAAGACCGTCACGTTTTCCTGGCGCAAGGAACTCTGGGGACAGCGGATAACATGAGGGTGTCACACCTGCAGCCCCTGGGCCTGTTAACCCATCCACAGAAAACCCCTCCAGGCCCGCCCTTCAGTCCACCTGCCTGCCTGCCTGTCTCTGAGTCTGTCTCTGCTTCCGCGGAACAAGCAAACTGGGATTAAAAAGAACCTGGATGCATCTCTGGTCACAGAACACAGGTCCCACTTCAAAAGATGGGAAGCAACTTACACAGCTAGCAGGCTAATGCCCTGAGGGAAAGTGTTCAATCACAGGCAGGAAGGGCGAGTGGAAGGGCGAGTGTGTTGGGAGGTGGGGCTCAAATGTCTTGTGCTGGCTTCCACATGAGCAAAGCAAAGGAAGAAACAGGATGAGTTGCCAGCTGTGTGAGGGGATAACATGGAAAAGCTCCTCAGAGCCTGGGGGGGAGGGTCATTGCACCAATGGGGGAAGGGGGATACTCCCCAGGAAATTCTCCTCAGAGAAGCATGGAGTGTGCCCTAAACCTGGCTCCAACAACCACTCACTCACTCACTCCCCTCATGCAGGGGCAATGAGTTCAAGTGTGATTCCAAAATAGTCCATTGGGAGGAAATCAATCAGTGGGGGAAGAGCAAAGGTCCTCCAGGTGCACTGACCTCAGACTCAACTGTCCAGTTCTGAACACAAAGGGGAAACTTGACATACTGAGGTAGATGATGGTAAACAAAAGTCACTATGCCAGTAATGCCAGAATAAGGTTGAGGCCAGGAGACAGCGCATGCCCGGCACTGTGTGCCTCCTCAACATCACTCCTGAGCACTGCGAGGGTGGCCCTGGTGGTCCACAGAACTGCAGGACCCGGTGGCACCACATCCTCTGACCCCTGCACTGAACTGCCGGCTTGGTTAGCTAAGTATTGCTGGAAGTGGCCCCCAAGTTCCTAAACATGGTTGTGGATCCCCACCCCCAAACCCCCCTCCAAAAAAAATAGGGCTGCCCTGAATTCCCAGTCAAGCAATCACTTCAAGAGATGAAGAGGATGAAAGATGATGTCCATTTGAGTAAACGGTTAAGAACTCAGAGGCAGGGAGAGTGAAGGGCTAGGTGCTGGTGGAGTGGGGAAGGAGAGCAGGGTCTCTACCCCGAGCTAACAAGTGTGTCTGGTCTCTCATCTAGACCCTAAAGAGTCAAGATCAAACAATTCAGTCATTGTCCAAGGCAAAGCAACAAGCAAAGGTGAAACACATACACTCTCAGCCAGAAGAGAATCTGAACAGGAAAACAAGACACTGAGGCTGAAGAACTGGTCCTGTCCCGACCAGTAGGATCCCTAGAAAGCTGAGTAGTGGCCCACGAAAGACCACATCAAGCGATCAAACAGGACCCAAGTGGCCTGGTAAGAAATTGGTTTCTGCCTGCCCAGTGGCCCAGAAGCAACTCCTGGCCAGGGGACTAGACTCACCTCGCAGGCCACACTGCTTGTGTGTCTTCCTGTTGTCCAAAGCTTTGATTGGAAGAGGTAACCTAACACATTTTATAATTTTTTTTAATGTATACAACTGTGCTGAGGGGAGAAAAAAATAGGAAGGAAAAGAAAAAGACTCAAAGATGGGAGCTGCCACAAGGCCCAGGTGATGCAGCAAGGAATGGGTGAGCTGAGAGCAGGAGGGACAGGTGCCCACACCCTGCTCAGGCCCAGGGCGGAGGTCATAGAGTTCAGAAACACACAGACCCCGGGAAGATGCCCAGAGAAGACTGCGGGGGTTGGGAGAGACTCGAGATGCTGAGGCAGCAGAGTTCTGGGAAGGCACATTAGGAAGTCAGAAAGACTAAAAAATCACCAGCGGTGGTCAATGAGCCACGAGAGCACAAGATGTGAGTGGCAGAAGGTAAGAAGGGGATGATGGAAACCACTTCCTGCTCCATGTTTCTATTGGAAAAAGTCTAGTCACTGCAGCACTGTCCTCCCGTTGTTCATCAATTTGCTCGAGCCGGCCCAGTAACGTCTCCATTGTGAGACTCGTTGTTACTGTGTTTGGCATATCGAATACATCACGGGTGGCTTGCCAGGCTCTGCCGTGTGGGTAAGATACTCTCGATAGCTTGCCGGGCTCTCTGAGAGGGGTAGAGAAATCGCAGAGGAATCGAACCCGGTCAGGCTGGCATGCCCTACTGCTGTGCTATCGCTCCAGCCCAGTCTAGTCACTGAAAAGAATTTTTTAAAAATTTTTAAAAGATAGGGTTAGGGTTACTGGCTGGACCTTCAAAGATAAAGCTGAGAGGAGTAGGTTCAAAGGCAAGAATGTGGATTTTGACGGCACATCGGGATGGCGTCTAGGCATGAGACCAGTCCAGATACATGGGCTGCAGGCCCTTGAAAGGTCGTGAGCTCCCGGCAAGAAAAGCAAGAAAACTGAACGCCCACTGTGGAGAGAGGCCCGAGTGTGGGGAGACCAGCCTGCAGAAGGGGGTGACAGTTACAACCTACACTTTCCCTGCACAGGACAGGGAGGCACAATCCCTCCCCTGGAGCAGGGTGGAAGCAGTGGATAGGATTTCAGGAGGCCAGGACCCTCACCCACCATCATCTCCTTCAACCCCCAGCCCCTGATGTGGCCTCCCCGTTCCCCATCAAGTACCACGTTGAGCTGGAGCTCCAGGCTGAGGACGCCGCCACTGTCCAGCACCGGCAGCAGCCGCAGGGCAAACACGGCCGGACGTTCAGGGGGCAGGGCCACGCTGGGGCCGAAGAAGATGTAGAAGTGGACAGAGAAAGTGTCCAGCTCGTTGCGCAGCGTTGGGCGCACCGGCCAGCAGTGCTCAGGGGGAGCCGTGACCCCTGGCCCCTCAGCCGGGGCCCCAAGGGATGGCGGCTCTGCAGACAGAGGCTGGCTGCCCAGGGACTGGGGCATGTTCATGGCCGCTCCAGGGACCAAGGCCCGCGACAGGCTGGGCTGCGGGCATTCTGTGGGGCAGAGGGGACAAGAGCTGGGGCTGGCCGCACCCATGGCACAGCACCCTCCACCAGCCAGGCCACCAGGCTTCATCAGCAAGGTGAGGGAGGGGAGGATTCAGGCCCGGCAAGGCACTTGGGTCCATGGGGCTCAAGTGTCATGGGTAATGGCAGGGTCTGGCAGAGGGGCATCGAGGGGAGCCCTCCCTCAGGCATTGCTGAAACACCAGCCTGCATGAGCTCCAGCAAGGGCAGCGACCTACAGGCCCCAGGTGTCCCTGCTCTCCCCAGAAATGGAAAGAGAAAATGACACCAAGGAAAGGAGAGGGGTGAAAGCTCAACAGGCTGAGCGCAGGCTTGGGTTTAGTCCCCGGTACCCAGGGTTCCCCCAAGCACTGCCAGGAGCCACTACTGAGCACAGAGCTGGGAGCTGTCCCTGAAAAAAGAAGGGAAGGAGAAGGGAGAGGGGGATGGGCAGGGCAGGACAGGACAGGGGGTCCTTGAGCTCCAGACATGGTTGTAAAATGATCTAAAGGCCTTCCTGGGACCTGAAGCTCTGGTGGGAGGACATCAGGGAGTGCGACAGGGCCCAGCTGGGGAGGGGAGGCAGGAATGGCAGAAAGCAGGGGCTGGGAGTCAGGGGCACCCTCGGGGCTCTGACCTTGCAGCCACACGCACAGCTGGAAGCGGACGGGCCTGCCGGGGCCCCGGGATGGCATCTCCACGCGCACGTAGACCCAGTGGCCCCAGGGGGGTAAGGCCAGCTCCAGCTGGCACATTGCGGCACCCCCGCAGGCCACGGAGCTTGAGTTGTGCAGGGGTGGAGCCTTAGGACGCAGGCGCAGGGTCAGGGGGCAGGCCGCAGCCCCTCTCCCCCCCACACACACCAGCTGTGCAGACACCCTGTAAGTGAAGCTGGGTACAAAGACCCTGGGGGTGGGGGTGGAGGGACAAAGAAGACCAGGACAGAGAGGTGAGCAGGACACAGGAGAAGGAGACACCTTGGGGAAGGTAGCACAGAGGGGTGAGGCTCTCTGGGGTCTTGTCTCCAAGGAGGGGATGGGGTGCAGAGGGACCACCAGCCCTGGAAGCCCAGTTATTCAGGGGGGTGGGGTGGGGTAGGGGGACACGGGCAGGGAGGCCAGAGCCCTGTGCCTAAGGCCAGAGGAGGAAGAGGAGGAGGAGGGAGAGGGTGGGGGGGGTCTTTACTTACTTGTACAGGGTGGAGTGATTGTGGGGGGAGAGCGTTTGCTCCGAGGGTCGGCCAGGCACCAGCACTGCCACGTCCAGCAGACGCCGGACAATGAGCTGCGGCTGCAGGAGGTACTGACACTCATCCTGGAGGCCCTGTGACAAGATGGGGGTGAGGGAAAGGAGGGACAGTGAGGGGGTAGTCAGCAGGGCGCCCGTGGTACAGGGTAAAGCTGACCTGTGGCACTGCAAGGGGGCCTGGGGGGAGTGGGGTTCCTTGCGTACTCAGGTCAGGGTACTCCCACCTTCACCCTCTGCACTCGAGCCCCTCTTCCTGAGCACTTCCTGTAATGCCCCCAACCCCATACCAGCCCCTTCAAACCATCCCGCCCCTCCTGTACAGAACACCGGCTGGAAGTGGGGGATGCTGGAAATTTCCTGAAAGGCCTCCAGTCCATGGCTCCTTCATCCACTGGGACAGACTCCTCACCCTGGCCCTCTGGGGACTTGCCCGGCCTGGCCCACCCCATGTTCTTTTTTTCTGAAGGACAGTCCTAAGCAATGTGAGAGGAGGAACCCCCCCTTGGTTTCTGCTCCCCCAGACAAGACGCTGGCCAGCACGTGTCTGTGTGTGTCAAGAGGGTGCTTGGCAGCAGTTCCAATGAAGCACGGACAGAGGGGCCATTCCCACCCGGCCCGGCACTGCCTGCATCTCCATGAAGCCAAAGCCCTGACTCCCCAATCACTGCACCCCAACTCCCACCACCACCACTGCTGGGACCCATAGATATGCCTGCTCTGCCTCCGGCTGGGCTTCTGGACAACAGCCTCAGCCCGCTGAGCTGCAGGATGAAAGTCCTAGTCCCCGCGTAACAACCCCCCCATACCCCCGCAACATTCACGTCACAGGTGCTGTCCAAGCACCCGCCCAGGGAACACAGTCCCGGTTTGCTCTTTGCTCTCTCTCCTCTTCCAGCAGCTCAGGAGAGGAGTGGCTGCCTAATTCTGTGATCTCCTGGACCCCTGGCCTCATGCTGGCCCAACTGAAGCTCCCTGTTTATTAATGCAGTGACTCTGAGCAAACTCGGGGACCAAACTTCCAGGTTCTGGTGTCCCAGGGAGTTCTCTGCCCCAGAACTCCATCCATCGGGCTCTAAGGCGGCCTGAGAGGCACCAGGCCAGTCCTCCCCGCCCCAGGCACAGGCTTTTTCTGCTCCACTGCCTCTTGCATCCCCAGTGCCCAGTACAGATGAGGCGCTAAAATCCTGAACCTGTTGAGTTTCAAGAAGGGGTGTCAGAAACAGGGCCCCTTGGGAAGTCCCCAGACACACCTCAACTGTTTGGAATCCTCTGACCCTGCTCCTTCGTCTTCTGCATCAGACCCTAAGGACAAGATGTGCTCTCCTAAAACATTCCAACCCCCTCCTCCTCCTCCGAAGGCAGGAAGCACAAAACTCTGTGACAGACGAGCCTCAAGTGGGACTCACAGGCAGGAGGTGGCCTGTCCACCTTGCCAGACAGCCTAGGTGGAAGAACCCCTTGCTTGAAAGTCTGGCATCGTGGAGACCTCTGTGGACGTGGCCTCTCCAGCTCTCAAGAGCTTCCTTCCCTGAACTACCATAATGCACAGCCAATGCCTCTCCCTTACTCTGTGTGTGTCTGTGTGTGTATGTATGTGTGTGTGTGTGTGTGCGTGTGTGTGTGAGGAAGGAAGGGGGGGAAGGCTCAGTCAGCAGAGACCCCAGAAAGGGGAAGGGGGCCATGCCTTTAGACAGTGATGGGACCAGAAGGGTGCCAGCCATCAAACACCTCTGCCAAGGCAGAAGCCAAGACAGACTGGCCACCAGCAGTATTTGGTAGAAAGAATGAGGCCAAAGCAAGGATGCTTGAGAAAGCAGAAGGTCAAAGGGAGAAAGGGCGTGAGAAGCAGTCCGAGAGATCCAGGGGTGGAAGGCCTAAAGATTCCCCCTCCCACCCCCACCAGGGTTCTTTGAAGGTCACAGGCCTCAAGCAGCTGCAGCAGACCAAAGAGGCACAAAGACATTCGGCCACTGCAGTGGGAAAAGCCAGTCCCCAGCTCAAGCCCCAGCCCACAGCGGACAGGAAGGATGGGAGTGTTGGGCCATCGGTGGCGGTACTGTCACATCAGGGGAGGTACAGGGGGCAGAAAACACAGAGGACAGGACTTCTGAGCATGAGTCAAATCAACAAGACTTTTCCCTGTGGGGCTAGTTGGAGGGAATTAAGGTGCAAAGAAGTCAAGGATGACAAGTTCGAGGCCTGGTGTGCCACTGACCAGTAAGAAGGTGACTGGGATGGGAGAAGAGACGGGAGTCACAGGGAAGAGGCTTTCCCATTAGACTCTGCTTGGATTTCAATAGGCTTCATCTGAGATACTTCTTAGACATCCAGTCGGAGATGTCATGTGAGCAGGTGGTTATACTGTCTGAGATTCAAAAATGTAGGGAAGCGCTAAATACACCCGAAAACATTGGCTTCCAGATGGTCTCTAAACTCACTGTGCTGGAGACATCTATCAAGAGGAGGGGGAAATAAAAGGCACCGTCCCAGGAGCAAGTACTGGGGAATCCAAAGTGTAGGGGTCGAGTAGAGGAGAAGGCAACAAAGGACATGGGAGGAGGGGACGATGGAAAGTTCCGGTGGACAGCAGACCAGGACATTCTGAGAAGTCAAAAAGGTGAAGAGAAAGTGTTTAAATCAGGAAAGGGTACTACAAGGTAACTCTGGCAAAGGGAAGTTGGGGTGGGAAAGAAGACTTTTCACTACACTTGCCCGCTTGAACATTTCAAATATGGTACCAGGTGCCTACATTACCTATTTGAAATGTAAGACAAATCACTTACAAGGAAGAGGAAAAGCAGAAATTAAGGGCTTGACCCATGTCTACTGAGAGCTTGAGCCACGCTTGTACATGGGTGGTGGAATCAGACAAATTCTTTTTTTTTTTTAGCTTTTTTTTGGGGGGGGGTCACACCTGGCAATGCACAGGGGTTACTCCTGGCTCTGCACTCAGGGATCACTCCTGGCAGTGCTCAGGGGACCATATGGGATGCTGGGAATCGAATCCGGGTCAGCCACATGCAAGGCAAACACCCTACCCACTGTGCTATCACTCTAGCCCCGAAATCAGACAAATTCTTTACTTTCCTTATTGTTGTCCTCATGATCTTACCAACTTTCAGTTGTGGATCTGAGGAGAAGAGGCATTCGGGAACAGCACCCCTAGGCCTCAGGAGGGCTTTCCCCATCCAAGTCATCTGAGTGCCAGATGTTAGCCCAGCCCAAAGGCCAGCCTCTCAGGGAAGCCCGGCAGCAGGGCCCCACAGGGTGGACATGCTCCAGAACAGAAGGTCTGGGAGGTGCAGAGCATGTGTCCAGATGAAAGGGCTGAGGGGACAATGGGAGGAAGAAGGAGGACACCTGAGATCAATTTTGGGACATGAGTTTTCAAAGATGGCAGAAAAGTGGCCAAAATTTGCCCAGTACATAACAACTGGCCAAAGGTAACAGACCCTGAGAACTGGTTTCTAGAACTGAGTTTATTAAGGGCGGAGGAAGGGTGGGGGGTGACTGGGAGGGAACTCGGAGACAATGGTAGAGGGAAATGGACACTCCAGTGGAGGAAAAAACCCTATCATTAACAGTACTGCAAACCACCATGCTTCAAATAAATGATTAATTAAAAATAAATCAGCAAAGAGTGAAAAAAAAATTGCCACCTGGTCACAATGTACCAGGTCCAGTGCTGGGTGAGAGCGCCTACTCCCACGGATACAGGAGGTAGGAGAATGGGGTGGCCCCATTAAATCTCTTCTATTACAGCCTCTTAAGATTTCTGATCATTCTCAGAATAAAGTTCCAATTTCTGGGCCCTTCCTGATCTGGGCTCTGCTCACCCCTCTGGTTCCCTCTCCCAGGCCCCCATAAGTACCATCCAAAAGCAGAACCACTTCAGTTCTTTCCCTCCCCCTCCACCAAAGCTTTAGTCTGCTGTTCCCACCATCTGGAATACCTTTCCCTGCCTCCTCAACACCGGGCCTCCCTCCTAACACCCGCATTCTCTGGCTGAGTTACCTCTCTTCCTGGTCCTCATCCCCTGGGTCTCAATAATGCACATCTGATCTGTGTCCCTGAATCCTGTCCAAGATCAGGGGCAAGGAGGTGCTCAAGGACTAAGGTTTCTAGGCCCTCTAATGAGGGCCTAGAAACAGTACTGGCTCTGAAATTCTTCCATTTCTACCCATGGGTATCCCCAATCCCTCATCATTGCCTGTATTTCCCAAGCCTCACAGGAAGCCAGCCGTGGACAAGGAGGAAAGAAGTTGAGTAGAGCCCTGGTGGAAAGTTCTGAATATCCTTCACAGGCATGAATCTGAATCATTTACCAGAGCACCTGAGACTCTTAGATAAGATTCCAAAAGTGAGGCCAGAGAGATAGCCTTGCACATGGCTAACCTAAACTCAATCCCTGGCAACATATGAACTGTGATTACTGCCAAGAGTGAACCCTGAACACAGAGCCAGGAGTAAACCCTAAATAGAATCAAATGTGGTCGAAACCCCCAGTCTCCCCACCAAAAAAATAAATAAATCAAAACATTCCAAAAGATTATAAAATTCATGTGGTATGGAATGATGTATGCATGAAACTATCATGTATTATAACAGTATTATAAATCATGGTCCTTCAAAATATTGATAAATGCTTAAAAATTCTAAGATAATTCATTGTTGTTCCGTTTAGTTAGGGCTGGAGTGATAGCACAGCAGTAGTGAGTTTGCCTTGCACGCAGCCAATATGGCCAACCTGAGTTCGATTCCTCCGCCCCTCTCAGAGAGCCTGGCAAGCTACCAAGAGTATCTCGCCCGCACGGCACAGCCTGGCAAGCTACCCGTGACGTATTCGATACGTCAAACACAGTAACAAGTCTCATGATGGAGAAGTTACTGGGCCCGCTCGAACAAATCGAGGAACAACGGGAGGACCATGACCGTGACCTGTTTAGTTAGGGGCCACACTTATCAATGCTCAGGTGTTATACTACTGGCGGTACTCAGGGGACCAAACAGGGTGCTGGGGATTAAACCTGGTCAGCTGCATGTAAGGCAAGTGCCCTACCCACTTTACGATTGCTCCAGCCCTTAAGATAAATTCTTAGGGAGACACCAGGAATATTCTGGCATCTCAAACCTCTAGCTCAGGATCCACAGAGCTCTGGCTCTCACGTTCAAGAGATACTGTGTCCTCTCCTCTCTAACCTCCCAACTGCCCTCAGGAGCTCTGCTCACCAGGGCTATAGCTTACAGCACCAAGTCCTCCAAGGCCCACTTTTTACACTGAGATGCAAGCCTGGTGCTGACCTCTCTTAACCAGGCTTCTTCTAATCCCAGTCCCGCCTATGTACCAGGTTCCTGTGGCTCACCCAGAAAGAGAAAAACACAGACAGACATTCCAAAACCCCTAAGTTCTAAAGGGAGACAAAACTGACCCAGAACCCAGAGGCATTTCTATGATACCCCAACAGGAGGGGTCCTCTCCTCAGCCCCCCGACCATGACAGGAAGCTCACTTGCCCATCACAGGAAAGCCAGGCCATATCATAGATCACCAAGGCCTATGATGTGACCTCAGGGAAACAGTTCAAAGGGATGGAGCATATGCCTCACATGTGCAAGGCCCTAAGTTCAATCCTGTCATCATATGATCCTGTTGGCCCCCAAGGGCCACCAGGCTCAGGGAGGGAGGGAGGGAGGGAGGGAGGGAGGGAGGGAGGGAAGGAGGGAAGGAAGGAAGGAAGGAAGGAAGGAAGGAAGGAAGGAAGGAAGGAAGACCTCAGCTGTAGCTTTCATCTCTGATGTTAACAGTGCCAACACACCTGTCCCTGTGTGATTCTCAGCTCATTCAGACATATTACTAGCAGTTCTCGGAGCCCAGAGCTCCAGCAGGAAGTGGGAAAGCCCGTCTGACACTGTCACAGAGCACCTGCCTACAGACAGCCTGCATAGATACATCCGGATCCTCCCTCCACTTCACTAGGAATGTCTGCCCCATGCAACTCCCCACACCCCACCTGACCCAGTTCCAACAGGCATGGCTTCCAGTGTTCAGTGGCCAAGCCTTGTTAGCTCTCTTAATCTCCAGCATCCTGCTCTTGACGTCCTCACTCTGCTCAGGCTCTGTCCTTTCCCCTTTGCCCCATAGGCAAGCATCTCACTTTGACAAAGGCTGCTTATCACCCCCTGCCTCCCTCCAACCAAAGAACCCTACAGATCCTCTCACTAGCAGGAGGAGATCTAGTCTGACCCATCTGGAGGTGAAAGAAAAAGATGGCGGCACTTCCGGTCCCTCCCAACAAAAACACAGTAGCAATGACTTTCCTCAACTCAGCTGATCCTTCTCAGTCCCAAATTGCCTCCTACAAATCATGGCTTCTGGTCCACCTGTGGCCTCTGGCCTCATGCTACTACCTACCCCTACTCACCTTTGTGCCCATTACCCAGCCAGGCACAAGGCTGGGGCACCGTGAAGCTCAGGAAAGGAATTCAGTGAAGACAGAGAAAGAACTCTGTCCCCTGTGCCGCCCCACCCAGCCCCGGGCAGCATAACCAGCAACTCACCTTGACAGAAATGTGACCATGGGCCTGAGGAAGGTGAGCAGCTAGAAACCAGTCCCCGGGTAAGGGGCTGCTGACGTTAAAGATGCCTGAGGTGCGGTTGGGCAGTGTCCAACTGAGGGTCAGGGAGAAAACCCCAGGAACAGCTGTGTCCCCTGGAAAGTGAGTATGCAAGGGATTGATGACAGGGGGTGCCCCAGATCGGAAGTACCTGGAGGGAGAAGAATCAGACAATGGAATAGGAAACACAAAGAGAGAAAAAGAAGAGAGAATTATTACTCATGCCTAGTACAATAAGTGGATTCTGTATCCTGACAACCCAGTGGTTCCAGGTCAGGGGTCAAGGGGTAAAAGGTCAACAGTCAACTGAGGCACTCACAAAGTCTCTCTCTCTCTCTCTCTCTCTCTCTCTCTCTCTCTCTCTCTCACACACACACACACACACACACACACACTTCAGGAAGTAGACAGGAAACCAAGGTCTTAGTCCCCAGTCACATTTCACATTTCATTGCAGACAGAGGTCGGGGTTTAGAGTGAGGTCTGAAGGTCCAATGGGATACTCAGAGTCACCATTAAGTTTGGCCGGTGGTCTGGGGGTAGGGCACAGAGGTTAACTCTGACACTCACACAGTCACACTTTGATCAGGGCAGTGGTCCCCAAATGTTCCCCCTTGCTCCTTGAAGATGATGAGGTTCCAAACAGCCAGAAAGGTGTCCTCAGGCACATGGAAGTGGAAGAGTTCAGTGCTGGCAAAGGAGCGGAAAGGACTCAGCTTGCGGGGCGAGCAGGTGGAGTAATCTGTCAGGAAGAGGCCTCCTGGGGAGAGGGGGACAGAGGTGCTTACATTAGCATCGGGCACCCGGGCTCTCCCCAGGGCTCTCACACTGCCCCAACTATTTCTTGCTGTGACCCTCATAATAACGGGGGGAGGGGATGGGGGTAGGAAGCATGACATGTTTGTGTGTGCGGTGTTTTGTTTTGTTTTGTTTTTGCCTTGTTGGTTTGAGGGTCTCACCCAGCAGTACTCAGGGATGACTCCTGGCAGTTGGCAATATTCAGGGAACCCTATGTGGTGCTGGGGATCAACTGGGGTCAGCCACCTGCAAGGCAAGCACCTTAACCCCTGCCCTATCTCTCCCACCCCAGACTGATTTCACAGATAAGGAAACTGAGGGGCTAACCAAGACTAAACAAGGATTCAAAACTCATTCTAAATCCAAAACCAAGACCCTATATACGACCCCCACAGTAGCTCCTCATTTTTAAGTCATTTTATCTATTTCTAAACCTGACAAAATGAAGGGGTGTGTGTATATATATATATATGAATGTGTATGTGGGAGTGTGCAAAAGTGTGTGTATGTATGTGAGATTGGTGTAGGAGGGTGTGTGATGGAATGCATGTGTATGTATATGAAATGAGTGTTACTATGTGTGCATTATGTGAGAGTATATACAATTATGTGAATGTAAATATATGCATGTGTAGAATGTGCATGCACATGAATTTGTATGAATAATGTGTGTGAGAGTTATGTATAGGTGTGCATAAGCATGTGTGACAGCATATGTGAGACTGTGGTGAGTGTGGGGTGTGTGCGTATATGTGACAGTGTGTGTGTGTGTGCGTGCGTATATGTGACTCTGTGTGTGTGTATGTGTGTTGGCCTGGGCGCGTGGGTCATGAAGCTGGCTGGAACTCCAACACTGGCTTGGAAGTCAGCAAGGAACTGTAGCTCCTTTGTTGCCTCTCTTTCCCTTCTGGCCCCTGCGGTCTGCGCAGTCAGAACCCTCCAACAGTTTACAAGAGCAGTCCATAGGGTGGCACAGGGCAGGGATGGAAGGCACAGTGTGGGGAGCCTGCAAGGGGCCTATGTGGGTGGCAAAGGTTGGGAGAAGAGCCAGCAGGCTCCTGCTCCTCCTGAATCCTCCTCCACCCCTCCATAGAGGAAGAGAGGAGAGTGTAATTTTCTGCCAACCAGCAGCAGAGGGGCGCCAGGGAGGTGGTCTGCTGCTCACCCCTAGGTCCTCAGACCACTTGGGAATCCTAGTGTTTGAGAGGTGGAGAGGAAGTGGTCGTCTCTAGCAGAGACGCTCTGACCCCTGACCATGGGCATCAGGAGTAGAGCCAAGGTGGACAGGAGCGCACAGGGCCAGCACCTAGCCAGGCCACCTGGAGGCTGGACCACCATCCTGGGGATCATCTTCCCATAGCTCAGCTGGACAGAGAAAGACCCCAAGTGGCAAACAAAGATCTGGAGCACCTAATTGCTCTGGAGACCAAAGCCCGGTGTGGAAGCCAGAGGGTGGGCAGGACAGGGAAGAGACTGGGAATTCAAGAAGCTGCAGAACAACTCTGCAGGAAGGCGGGATGGCAGGAGTGGAGGGAGCGGGGGAGGGAAGCGAGGGGGTGTGGGGATCGGGGAGGGTTATGTTGGCAAATTCTGGGACAGAGGTTTTAGCCAAGTAAGAAATCCCACTGCTACAGGGGCGGGCTTGAGGGGTGGCTGGGAAAATGGGGACAATGGTGGAGGGAAGGTCACAGTGGTGGTGGGATGGGGACTGGATACTGAATGTCTGTAACAAATGCATCATGAACAACTTGGTAAACCATATTGTTTAAATAAAGTGGGGGTGGGGGGAACTGCCCACAGGGCTTACCAAATCTGACACTCACTCTGGAGATGAGTGTCAAACTCCAAACGAGGGAGGTCTTTGAAGTCACGGGGGGGGGGGGGGGGTGAAGACATCTGGGAAAGGAAGGGGAAGGACCAGAGAGAACCCACTAGCAGCAGCAACCTCAAGCCGCCCTTCCCAGAGCCGCCTTCATGACGAAGGGGCATCTCCGAGGTAATGCTCCTTGCGAGGTATTCGCAAGGCTCACAGACTGCACAATTCATCCCAGTTGTCAGCAAGGAAAACCTGTCACCTGGCACGCTGATGGCCACCCGGGAGCGGCCCAGAGCAGCATGAAGACAGCAGTGGAGCTGCATGCCAGAGGGAGGACAGGAAATGAACCAACTGACAGGAAAGGGACATTCCTAGGAGGACAGGCTGACTCGAGAGAGCCAAGTGAAGTGAGCCAGAAGGAGAAGGGCAGACGCAGCACGAGCCTGCACATATGCTGCACACAGAGGAACATAGTAGGGGAATAACAATACCCAAAGGCAACCGGAATTGAGAGCTGGTCTGAAGCAGGAATCTTACTTTGGGGGGTTGGGTGGGGCGGGAGTACCAGGAAAATGGTGGAGGGAAATGGACACTCTGGGTGAAAGGGTGCTGGCACTGGAGGTTTTTAATGTATGAAAACTTGCTTTAACGGGTCTCCAAACCACGGTGCCTAAGCTGTAGAGCCCAGATACCAAGTTAGGAGAAAGCTGAGCTCTGGGGTGCCCTCTGCTGGAGGTGGAGAAAGACTCTCCTCTGCAAACCTGGTGCCATGGCAGGGTAGTGGATGAACCTAATGACAGTCATTGGAAGAGATGTTAGCCCCAGACAGTCAGAGCTGAACATGAAAAAGCTGTTAATGACCCTGGGAAGACAATGAGAAGACCAGCACAATCCGAAGGAAGTGGTTAAGCCACCCCAAAGTGGCAAGAGATAGGTTGGTGGGAAAAGAGAGCGAGCAAGAAGAGCAGAGTATGCTGGAAGGAAACTAGAAGTCCCCAAGAACAGATGCTTAAGGAAGCATCGAGGTCTTCAAGAGTTGGATGGGGCTTTGATTCAACAGGTCCATATAGAGCCATGTCCCTCAGAAAGTCAGACCTAACGCATGCTCAGACGAGACTGTTCTAGATGCTCCAATAGTTCCAGATGAAGCTACAGCAATTCTCCACCACCATCTGGAACACGAACACGAACACACACACACACACACACACACGCACGCACGCACGCACGCACGCACATACCACGCTTTTAAGTAGAACAAAAGACCTTTTATTTTCTGGCACAGCCAGGCAGGCCCAGGGCTATGCAAGTGCAATGAGCCCAGGTGACCCCAGGGGGCACCTTCTGTCTGGCAGTAAGACTAAAAACAGCATTACACACATAATGAGACCATGAAGATGACGCTGTGACACTGACAGACTGTCCCGGGGTGGAAGCCAGCTCCGCTCCTAGGTCATGGCACAGACCTGCAAGCCTGGCCATAGTTGCCCACCAACTGGCAGCACATGGGCGGCCCTGCCAGCATAAGACCCAATTGAGTCCCCTTACCCCACCCCATCACAATTCTCCCCAAAAACTGCTTCAGGCCAACCAACTCTTAATGCACATCTCTCGGCTTCTTGCAGATCTGGGACTGCCCCCTGCCTTCCCTTGCCAGCCCAGAGCTGTTCCATGGACTTATGAACAAGGCACAGGGAAGATATGAATCAGGCTCTGTCACACCAAATCTGAAGCGCAGACCTGCGACCACCTCTGTAGACAGCACCATCACCAAGTCCCTCCTTGGCTCCTGTCTTCATGAGGTCTGGCTGGGTCCGGCTGATTATATATTACTAAACACAGATAATATATACATGTCTTGTGAAGCACCAGGTAGGGTGTTAAGCAAGCAAGAAACGAGCGACTTGGTTGTTGCTGTTTGTTTCTGGACCACACCTGACAGTGTTCAGGGCTAACTCCTGGCTCTGTGCTCAGGAAATCACTTCTTGGGGGGGGGGGGGGGGGCTGGGGGACCATTTAGGGTGCCAGGGATAGAACCTGGGTGTCAGGATGGATCCCTGCAAACCTGATGCCAGGGCAGGGTAGTGGATGGGCTGATGACACTGTTATTGGAAGAGATGTTAGCCCCAAGCAGTCAGAGCTGAGAATGAAAAGCCGCAAATGACTCCGGGAGTTTAAACAATGAGAAGACCAGCACAAAGAGCCCTGCAATTCACAGGAAGTGGTTAAGCCACCCAAAAGTGGCAAGGGATAGGTTGCAAGGCAAGCACCCTACTCACTGTACTATGGCTCCGGCCCCAGAACTAGCTACTTGGGAAGAGATACTTCCAGGATCTGTGTGGAGAGAAGCAGGGAGAGCTGACGAAAAATATGCCCGGGTCACAGTACAGGTCCTCTCCTTTTACACATGACACAGGCACTCAGAGGACACACAGGCTCCCATGTCCCCCAAAGAACACACAACATGTCCACACACTGTACAGGCCCGTGTTGCCACAGAGCCCTCGGACAGGGACATACACATCCATACATACACACACACACATACACACACACACACACACACACACACACACACGTCCACAGACACCGGTGAGCACAGGCATATAGACTGTCCATCTCCACAGAGCTTTGGGCTGTGCTGATCTCAGAGCCCTGAGCTCCCGGGAACCCAGCCCCCATCACAGCTGCTCTCTGAGTTGCTCTTGCCAAAGGCTCCCTCAGGCATATCCCGACCCTGCGCTAGACACCGCTGGCGGGGAAACCAGAGTCATCTCTTCATCGCCTGCACGTGAGGCCATCTGGATGGCACATATCCCTCTACCCATTAAGAAATGGACCCTCTCCCCGCTCTTATCACTTCATCACTTCATCTCTGGAAGGTGGCAGGAGGCAGAGAAGTTGACAACTGAGGAACAGCATGTGGATGAAGCCCCCTAGTGGGGAGACAGGGGAGAGAAGAGGCTAGTCTCAACTTGGGTCAGTTCTCCTATCCGCTAGTGCAGTGAAAAGGACAAAGAAAAAGGAAAAGGAAAAAAAAGAAGCACTGATATGAGATGGAAACCAGAATCCTTGTTTCCCCAGCCACATAGAGCTGTGTGCCAGCGAGTAAACTGCTTCCTAACTGGACCTCAGTTTTCTGATTGGTAAAAACAGCCACTGAATTTTTCAATTCTGCTCTAAAAGTATCCAGAATTGAGGCTGGAGAGATAGTACAGCGAGTAAGGTACTTGCCTTGCACTTGGTCAAGAGCTCAATCCCTGACACCACATACCGTCCCCTGAGCACAGATCCAGGAGAGTAAAGCCCTGAATGAACACTTCCAGATATGACCCCAAAACCAAAAACAACAAATGTAAAAGTATCCAGAATTCATCCTAAGCAAATCAAGCATATTGGAAGCAAGACTCACTGTAACCAGAAGACAACTCATAATGGCGACTAACCCCTGTTTGCTGCACATTACTTTTCCAGAAGGAATTTTTAATGGTTTAGACTAGATCTTCTCACACTGGTCTAGAAACTCACTGACTGGGGTGTATGTCTCTCCCATCAAGCTTCAAGAACAGGAGCAAAGTCCTCAAGACTTCTTGGAGAAAAGTTGAATCAGGATAAGACCCCCAGGAAAGAAACATCCTAGGGCCTAGTGACCAGCCACCTCCAAGTGTCACGCAAACAATACTCATTTGACCCTCCCAATTCCTCTCCATTATGTAAAACCTTTCTCCTCCCTTTCTCCCTTCTCCCCCAGTCATCTGGCCGCCAGGGTCCCACTTCTCTCTGGGTTCCTCCAACCCGCCCCTCCCGTCCACATGCCCACCCCTGCCTCAACCTTGCCTGCTTCTGCACTCACCAGCCCCCGGGCCAAGCACAGAGAACAGCAACAGCAGCAAAAGGGCTGGCGGCAGCTGGAGCCCAGACCTGAGTCGAGGCTGGGAGAGGGGCAGGGTATGAGAGACAGTGCGGAGTAGTGGGAGAGACGTGGGCAAACACAGAGATGAGGGCAAAGCCTGAGCTAACGGGTCGGGCTGGGCAGGGTAGCGAGGCTGGTACAAGGGCAGGGCATGGGGCGAAAGGAGGGGTGGTGATGAGTGGAGCAAGGGCAGGAGTCTGGCCCTGGGCTGAAACAGACACGGGAGCTGAAGCTGTCTCAGGGGTTGGGCCGGGACTTGTGACAGGAGGTGGCACAAGGGCCGGGGTGGGGATGGGGGCCAATCAAGGGACTGGAACTGGACGGGGGAGCTAGGTTGGGACCCGGATCTGAGCATTCGCTGGGACCCAGGCCGGGACGGGGACCAATCTGGGACGCGGGACGAGGGCGGGGCCGGGGGCCAAGGTCCGGTTCGGGATAGGACAAGGGGCCGGGACAAGGGCTGGGCCATGGCCCGGGGCGGGGGCGGGGCCGGACCGGGCCAGCACGGGGCGCTCGCAGAGCTGACCCGCGGCTCCGCTCCCCACCCCCGGGGGGTGGCCTCCGTTGTCCTCGCGGGTCCGGTGCCGGGGTCGGGCTGGCTGGAGCCGGGCCGGGGACCTGGGTAGGAGTTCAGGCCTGGGCGACTCCGGGCTGCGCTGGACCGGCGTTAAGCAGGCCCCGCGGCGGCGGCCTCACACTGACGTCGGGCGACGCTCCGCCCCCTGGCAACTTCGATTGGCCTTTCCCAGGAAAGCCCGCCCCCCTCCTAATTCTATTGGTCTTTCCATTGGTCCTGCTGGGCCGAGGACAGACTCCACCCAACGCCTTTAACCCCAAACACAGCCCCCAAAGCGCCCAGCTCAGATCCTCACGTCCTCTGTTAACTGTCCCCAGGGGCAGCTCCCAAGAACTCTACGGCGACCCCCGCACACCCAAACACCTACAGACGTCTTCACTTTTGGCCTCAGACCCTTACCCGTCTCCCAGATCCCGCACAAACCTTCTAGGTTGTCCCCCCGCCCTGCTCCAGGTCCAATGCGGTCTCCACAAGAGACCTCACCCACCGAGAGGTGACCCGACTTCTGTTGCTACGGAAACTGCTGGGCGTTCCGGTTGCCCTGGTGACGGAGCCCACCTCTCAGAGCTGGGGTTCCAGCGTCTCCAGTCAGGCCCCTTCCTTCACCCTCCTCCTCCGGCTCTCCCCTCCTCCCCCCCCTCCCCCCTCCCGACCATCCGGAGATCTGGCTCTAATGCTTTTGCCAGTCTCTGCAGGGGTCCCCAAGTAGAGACTCATTGACGCCCCCCTCCCAGGAGCACCCCCAAGTCAGCTAACACTTGCCCTCCTCACCTAAAGACCTATAACAGCAAAGTCAAAGCCCAGAGGTAGGTCGTTCCCCAAGAGCTCCTCCTCCAAACCCTCGCCCAGTCCCCTTCTAAGCCTTCTCCCAGCCTCTGTACAACCCCCTCCCGTTCTGCATTTCATCCTTGCTCTCATAATGCACCAGGTTCATCCTTCTTCCATTCCCTCCCCATTCTTCTTCCCACCCTTCCCCTCCCCCATTCCCTAATTCTCCACCCTTTTGCCTCTGAAAATGGGTCTGATCAATTTCCTCCCTCTTCATGCCCTTACTTCTGCTTCCTGTCCCCAGCCTCCCCTATGAAAAACTCCTGATGAACTTAGATGAAATGTTTAGGAGACTTAGCAGGGAAAGTTAAGGTTGAAATCCTTAGGCAGTTTGCAAATGATGACTGTCTTGAATGTCAGGGCCAAGAAAGCTGGACTCAATCCTTAAGCTGAGTCACTGAATGTTTTTCAGCCCAAGAGTGCCCTTGTTGGGCTTGCATTTTTAGAAAGATCTCAGTTGGGTCATCAAGAAGGGCTGATCTCTTTGGGACATCCTTCCAATATAAATTAAGCACATCTCACTTCCCAAAGCATCCTGGCTTACCCCTAGCATTAACGCCAACTCATTTGTATTGTATTTTGCTTCATAGATCTCCTTCTCAGACTCTGCTGAGTTCCGTTCTTAGCACAGTGTCTGAGTGAAAAGGATTAGGCTCCTTATAAAAATCTCGTTTCTGTAAATCATGAGAGAATAAGGGAGTCAATATGCTGGGCAAAAGAGCTGAGGGACAAAGTAATTACAGAAAACAGGCAGAAAGTGATGTGAACTGAGCAAAACTGCAAAGAAGGGTTCAGAGAAATAGTAACACGAGTCAGGCTCTTGACTTGCACACAGCTACCTGGGATTGAGTCCTGGCAACACATATGATTGCCCAGTGCCTTCAGAAATGATCCCTGAGCAGAGACAGGAGAAAGCCCTGAATACCAGCAAGTGTGGCTCAAAACAACAACAACAAAAAAATGCAGAAAAGTGAGAGGTGAGAATGGGTTTCAGGACTATTCAAAAGCTAGACAATAAGAGCTATAGTATAGCAGGTAAGGTGCTCGCCTTGCACATAGCCAGTCTGGGTTTGATTCCTGGCACCACATGCATCCCCCCCAGCACCCCTCCAGGAATGATTCCCTGATCACAGAGCCACAAGTAACACCTGAGCACCACCAGTGTGCCCAAAAAAAACCCAAATATAAATAAATAAAATATCCTTGGTGCCTCCTTGAAGATGAAGGCTGAGGAAAAAGGAAAAGACTAAGATAATTCCAAAGTTCAGTTATGATGCCTGTGGTACAGCCATTTGTCAATGTTCAATAGACCATAGAATATGAGTATGACATTCAGACATCTAAAGAGAACTGGACTTGAAATCAGATCAGTTTACAGCTGGAAGCGGTTGCAGCCCTGAACAACATAAACAGATATCATCAAGGGAAGCTATGTTAATTCCAGACAAAATGACTATGGGCAGAGCCCTGCCTAATGCATCATGTTGTCCTCTTGAGCTCCTGAAAGTAAGCCCTCTGGACGAGAAAGATAGTAGAGTGGTAGAGCACTTACCTTGCAGGCACCAGACTAAGGTTCAATCCCCAGAACCACACACATAAGGTCCCCTGAGCACTGTCAGGAGTGATCCTTGAATTTAGAGCCAAAAAGTAAGCTGAGTACAGGAAGGAAGGAAGGAAGGAAGGAAGGAAGGAAGGAAGGAAGGAGGGAGGGAGGAAGGGAGGGAGAAATAAGGGGAGAGAGAGAAAGAAAGAAGGGGAGAGAAAGAGAAAGAAAGAAAGAAAGAAAGAAAGAAAGAAAGAAAGAAAGAGAGAGAAAGAAAGAGAGGGAAAGAGAGAAAGGAGAGGAAAGAGAGAATGAGAGAAAGAGAGAAATCGAGAGAGGGAAATGAAAAACAGGAACCCTCACTTTGATTGGTGTCCCCAATCTCTAGAAGTTCAGAGTCTGACTCAGGGCCCTAGAGTATTCCTAGCTCTTGGACTAGCACCATGTTGCCTCAATCTTCCTTCTGTGATCTGGCCATCTGGTCCCATCTCTTCAGAGGTGCAAACTCCTTCAGCCATTCAGTTCCAGCTCCCTCACAACCTACCTGTGATCTGGGCACGCGAATTAACAATTAAGTTCCCAGTTCCTAACTCGGGAGCTCACCTTGCTTTCCCACATGTGAAGTCTTAGGAAGTACTGAGAATCTTCTCCTATTTCCATAACTCCCCACCACCTTGAACCTTGACTTGCAGACCCACCAATTCCTCCTTGACTTGCAGACCCACCAATTCCAATCCAATAACATGTGTACTCTTCTTCTGCACCTAGATTGAAACCGACAAAGACATGGAACCTGATGCCAACATGGATGCCAAGCAGCAGAGTTCTTCATTGGTGCCCTCTGCTCAGAACTCAGAAGAGCCCATTAACTCTAAACCGATCTTGGAACCTTCCACCTATGATTACCCAACAGAAGCCCTGATCTCTGAGTTTTTTATGGAACTAGCCACTTTAGAGATACCTAAAATCTCTTCTCCAACCTCTGAGATACCTTTAGAAACCCATTCCTCTGAACATTACATGAGGCCCATCTCAAGCCAGGAATATTCCGAAGACCAGGTCCTTGAAAGCCCCTTGTCTTCCCCCTCAGAGACCCTTTCTGCTGAATATGAGAAGGTACAGTATGTTCCTCACACCAAAGAAGAGACTGTCATATATGAGAATCCTGCACTGAAAATGGAGACTTCCATTTTCCAGACCTCTTTTGGACGCTCTACTAAGGAAAAACACTTGGATTTTCAAGTCCATCCAGACCTTGTCTCTGTGTCTTCTTTTGATGATTTGCAAGAGCTTACTCAGACTTCCGGTGAGCTCTCATGATGGACAAAGGGTCCTGGCCAGAGCTCTAAATCTAAAATTCTTCAAAAGCCTTCCCTTTTTCAGATTCTGACCAGGACCTTCTGCAGGCACTTGTAAAGTGGAAGGAAGCAACAGAAAAGCATGAGGAGAGGGCGTCTACTTCTAAGCCAGCTCAGTCTGAACCCCAGTTGGGCAAGAAGCAGGAGAAAAAAGGTGTTGACTATAATTGTTTCTACCCTTTCCCCGCCATTCTCACCACTGTCCCTTGACATGGCCCCCAAAGAGGGAGGATGGTCACATTTCTGTTGTTGTTACCAATTTACTTTTAGGTAACAAGATTATGGAATTTCAGAGAACACGGTTCATTGTTCTGTGTGTATCATACCATCAGAAGAGTCACCACCTACCCCTCAAATCCTCCCCTGGTGCCCCTTCCTTTCTGGTACCCACCTGAGTTTTCACCAAGTCTAGGAGTTGGTTTGGTTGTTTTTAGCCAACTTGTTTGCTTTAACAATTTATATTCCATATATGAGTGAAACCATCTGGTAATTGTCGCTCATTTCCTTCCTTCACCTCCAAATTGAATGGGCTACTCTGACCTCCTTGAGATTTTAGGGTCTTCTCACTTCCCCCTTGGTTACTGATCCCATCCCTCCTCAGGTTTTCCAGAAAGTCCTACTAAGCAGGCAGAAATGGCTGACATGGCTAAGGCACTGCACAGACAGAAGTTTCATTCTCAGGGGAAACATCTTTTCCATTGGGCTGAGAACACATCCCTGAATGCCATCCAGTCAGGTGAGCTCAGGCAGCATTTCAGAGACCTGGGACTGGCCCATGCACATCCACAATTTTAAGGACCTGGAAACCTGCCAGGTTGAATAACTGACCCCTGTGAAAATGGCAGTGCCACCCACTGGAATATGGAAGGGGTGATAGGATCAAGGTGAGTTGTGTGGATATAAACACAAACACACCCCCAAAATGTAAATAGTCACAGAAAGTTTGGCCAGGAACAGGTGGTCAAATTGAAATTGCTAAAAGCAGAAGCAATAATGTTGTCCCTTGAGATATAGTGCAGTGGGTAAGGCCAACCTGGATTTGATCCCCAGCACCATACGTGGTTCTCCAAATCCTCCAGAGTGATCCCAGAGCACAGAGCCAGAAGTAAGCCCTGAGCACAGCTGGGTATGGCCAAAACCACATACACACACACACACACACACACACACACACACGAAAGAGACAAGGCAGGGGTTAGAACACTTGTCTTGCATGTGTGAGGCCCAGTACCCCAAAAAATAAAATAAGAGGTAATATAATGGTTCATTGGAGCTGGAGCAATAGCACAGCAGGTAGGGCTTTGCCTTGCACATGGCCGACCTGGGTTCGATTCCTCCATTCCTCTCAGAGAGCTTGGCAAGCTACTGAGAGTATCCCACCCCCACGGCAGAGCCTGGCAAGCTCCCCGTGGCATATTTGATATGCCAAAAGCAGTATCAACAAATCTCATAATGGAGACATTACTGGTGCCTGCTTGAGCAAATTGATGAACAGGAGGACAGTGCTACAGTGCTGCAATGGTTCATGGGCTTGCCTTGCAACCCCCTCCACCTGCCACCCCTGAGGCCAGCCCCAGATCTAGGGCTCTAATAGCCAGCACTTAACATAAAGCAGTGATGACCAAGGACCCTGGACAGTTGCCATGAGGTACTCTGACTGTGCAAAAGCCTCAGCACCTTGGTGGAACACCATGAAAGGGGCTATTACACGGTCCAGGGAGATAGCTCAAAGGGCTGCAGCGGATGCAGTGACATGTAAAAGGCACCCAAGAATCAATGCCCTCCAGCTCCCAGCCCCGCTGGGTGTAGCCCGTGTGGCCCTCAGCACCACTTGGCCAGAGCAGCATTGTACATCCAGACTAAGGACCATCAAGGAGTAGCCCACAGGCTCTATAAGCACTGCTAGGAGAGCCAATCCTTCCCCTCAAATCACCTGGGCACCCAGAAGTTTTAAATCTCATCAGCAATCTGCTAGTTCTTGCCCTGTTATGTTCAAGGTTCAAGTTTCAAACCCATAATTAATTCTCTCATCAATTTTGTTCATTGCATGTTGTGTGGATATGCAGGGAGGGCAGAGGAATTATTTAAACACAGACATTGTGTATGTGAGCATATGTGCCCATGTTACTGGGCATCTGGAGGGATTAAGAGGGCCTCCTTGACCTGCTGGGAAGATTCTGGAGTTTGCAGGTAGAATTCAGTAGATATCAATGCATTTTTCTTGACCTTCCCTTCTTTATCTCCCATTATGATGAGAAGAGGGTTATGGCAAAACCACATAGACCTGAGGTAAATTGACATTCAGGTCATTCTATTCCTTCTCCTTCCGTGTAATTTACACTCATCATTCCCATGTAGGGCCCATCCCTGATTAAGAAAGCTTTAGTGATTTCATTTGTTTCTTTGTCTCAATTCATATATGGAGTGGCTTTTCTTGTTTTTTTGTTTGTTGGTTGTTTTGCTGTTTGTTAGGGGTGGGGTGATGAAATCCCAAGTGTGGGATAGACTAGAGAAAAAAAGAAGACTGAAGTCATGAGACTATATTGTCAGGCATCAGGAATAACCCAGGGAAGAAGTAGGTGGAGTAGGGAAGAACCCAGATCTGAAGAGATGGTACAAGGGTAAGATACTTGCCTTGCATCCCCACACATCCTGGTGCAACTTCCCAGCACTACATATGGACCCTCCAACACTGCCAGAGAACACTCCTGAGCATAAAGCCAGGACTAGCCCCTGAACACTGCTGGATGTGTTCCCAACACCCCCCCCCCCCCAGAAGAAACAAGTGAGTCTTGGGAAAGAAAAGGAAAAAAGTAAGAAGATACAACTATCCACTGGATCCCTGAATAGGGGGACACATTAAAAGACATCCAGGGGACCAGAACAATAGTACAGCATGTAGAACATTTGCCTTGCATGTGGCTGGTACCCCATATGGTCCCCTGAGTCTGTTAGGAGTGGTCTCTGAAGGTACAGTCTGAAGAAAGTCCTGAGTACTGCTTGGTGTAGCCTGAAAATAAAAACTTCCAAGATTTCTGCATGACAGGCTGGATGATGGTGTCATTGAAGGAATGATTCAAATAGAATAATAAGTGTGTGCTGGATGAAAGACAAGGGCCGTTTGGGAGGAATGACTAAGTGTTGCACATTTTACTGTCCTGGGGAACTTGCTGCTGAAAGCATCTAGTAGACAGCTGACTCTTGGGGTCTGAAACTCAGGAGAAGGGGCGGAGCCATGTAGCAGGTAGGGCATTTGCCTTGCATGCAGCCAACATGAGTTCAATCTCTGGCATTCCATATGGTTCCCCTGAGCACTTCCAGGAGTAATTCCTGAGTGCAGAGACAGGAGCAACCCCTGACCATTTTGGGTGTGACCCAAAAAGCCAAAAAAAGAAAAATAAAATTCAGGAGAGAAGCCTGGGCGGGAACTATGCTCCTGTAAAGATAACGGTATGTTATGGGGGAAAAGTTCCAATTACAGATTCCATGCAAGTGGGATGATGTGACGGAAGTCAGAAATACTGAGACCAAAGGGCATCTGAAGGCTGCCCTAGAGACAGCCTCTGCCTTAGACAGAGAGAGCACCTGTCTAAGGCACTTGCCTTGCAAGCGGTCAGCCCCAGTTCAGTCCCCAACACTGCATACAGTCCTCCAGCCCTGCCAGGAGTGATTCGTGAGCATAGAACCAGGAGTAACCCTCAATTTATGCCAGGTGTGACCCTAAACCCTCACCATCCCCCAAAAAATATCATCTGAGATCATATTTCCTCCCTAATCATATTTCCACCAATCCTTGTCCACTCATAACCAGATTCAGGTGAGTAGTTGAGGTCCCTGGTATGGAATACACAAGCAACTGTAGTGGAGACTGAGGTGTGGCTGTCAGTCTCCCTGTTCAAACGCTTCACCTGAACTCTACCCACATAAGTACTTAGACCTGATTTTCCCAGACCCTCAGGCCAGGCAGTGATCACCTCTGTCCCTCGGCCTGTACTTGCAGTGTATCAGCTTCCTTGGAGTTCTAAATTCCTCTGGTGGAATCCTAGAGTCACTCACACCCTTTGTGACACTGCCTTGCATGCTACCTTTCCCACCAAGCCTCCCTGGGGTAATGGAAACACTGGATGTTTCACACTGCCAGTTTCCATAATGAAACAGCAAAAAGCAGAAACTACATCTGAAAAAGACTTAAAATCCTGAGAGATTATGGGTAAGTAAGAAAACCTAGTGGGACAATTTGACACAAACGTAGGAAATGTGACCGTTGGGGCATCAAAGATCAGAGGACACAATTTCTCACCACCCTTATGGAATTCCAGGGTTATACTTGGAGGACGGGGCCATTCTGTGAGGAAAGGTGAAAGGGGAAGGAAAGGGATAAATAAAGGAGAGGAGAAGGGAGAAAAGAGGAGGAAAGGAGAGGGGAGGGAAGTATGGGGTAAAGAAATGGAAAGGGAAAGGGACAGGAAAGGACGTTCAATTGGTCAAGTAATCCATATTTTTTGAACATCTATCCTGTGCTAAGACTTAGACATATGGATGAAGAGGTCAGACTCATCCAACGCCTGCAATAGACTCTTCCAAGGTCTGCGATAGACTCTTCCAAGATCCAAAACAAAAAGTCAGACTCTTCCTTGGAGTAACTTTGACGTGAGCAGGAAGGTGAACAAAAACAAAACACTGTGCTGTGATCAAAGCAGTGCCAGATGCTGTGAAAGGCAGAAGAAGGGAACCCTAAACAGAAGAGAAAAACCTTTTCTTTTTGTTTGTTTATTCTGGGGCCACACCCTGCTGTGCTCAGATCTTACTTACTCCTGGCTCTGTGCTAAAGGATCATTCTTGGTAGGACTCAGGGGACCCTCTGTAGTGCTAGGGTATTGAACCCTGGTAGGGTGTGTGCAAGGCAAGTGCCTTACCACTATACTGTCTCTCCCCTATTATTATTTTTTTTGAGGGGTGGAATTTGTAATGGAGATGACTCAGAACCTTTCTATGGGAAGGAGTCCTACAGCTGAAGATTGCACTGCTTGGGTATCACACAGGAATCCCAGATGGAAGTCAGAGGCACTGTCAGCTCCAGGGAGGAAGGGAACATCTGAGTGCACAGGACTATCTGCTTCTCCCTCATCTGTCCCACCTCACCTGGCCACGAAACCAGGTTTCTGTGAATGAAATCTGACTCTTCTCCCAATCATGCAATCCCTCTGCATCTAGGTCTCTACATTGGCTGGCGCTGCCCCCATTACCTCTGGGACTGTTTTCAAATTGGGAATGAGTCCAAGTGCTTCTGTGGTCATTTACTGAAAGAGCATAAAATTCTATCAGGTAAGAAAGATTACCTAGCCCTTACTGATGGGTAAGGATAACCACACCACTGTATGTCATGATCTGTGTGTGTGTGTGTGTGTGTGTGTGTGTGTGTGTGTGTGTGTGTGTGTCTTGTGGAAGGGGGCACTGAGGAGGCATTGAAGTGGGCTTGGCCTGAGATTTCTGGCTGATCCTACCTCCTCTCCCCATTCCTGTAGATATATCTGTGCCCTGCAGTGTTAGCCAGTGTCGCTGCCTCATGTTCTGCTTCATCCCCTCACGCCCAGAAGAAGTAGGTGAGTTCTGGCTCAGGAGACGAGCCTTCTTTGACCCCAAGGCCTGGAGGGCCCTATGTCGCTGCAAACACAGTCATGAAGAGCATGCGGCCACCGGTGGACATCCCTGCAGAGTCAAAGGTACCTTCCAGAGCAAGGGGAGCAGGGAAGGGCAGTGGTTAGGGATCAGAGGCCAGTAGTTTGGGCACAGATCTGAGGGACTGTGGTCATAAAGGAAGAGATAACAAATAGTCCATGAAGAAGTCCCAATTTCCTCCATTCTGCCCCAGGCTGTTGCTGTGTTTGCTTTGAATCTAATTTCCTGTGTGCGGCCTGTGACCGACGCTGGGAGGAACATGAAACATTTTTTGAGACCGAGGATACCCGGCGACGAGGAGGGAGGCCTCATGGTGAGAAATAAGGGTGTCGTTCCTGTCTCTGTAGTCAAAAGCCCAGGCAAGAAGGCACCCCTACCTTCAACCGCCCTGCCCAAGACTACCCCATCCTTCTCCCCTGCACCTGTTACTATCTCCCACTCCCACAGCAGCCCCCACACCCCGCAGCAAGCAGACTCTGCACTTCTCTCTCTTTTTCTTTTTCTCTCTTTCTCTCCTCTCTCCTCTCTCTCTCTCTCTCTCTCTCTCTCTCTCTCTCTCTCTCTCTCTCTCTCTCTCTCTCTCTCTCTCTCCGTGCTCCTGACCCTGGGAAGCACTCCAACTACCCCAACTCCCACCTTGGATGCCCCCCTGCCTTGTTAACTCCCTTGGGCCATTGTGAGCCTGACCCAGTGTAAAAATAAAGGGGAAGATGCTGGAATCTGACCTGGTTCTGCATGAGGCAGATAAGGCCTGGACCAGGGATAGACACCCACACACTTTCAAATTGGCACCAGTTGGGAGCAAGAGAGCAAGTTGGCACCAATTGGGAGCAAGAGAGCAAACAATATGCCACATAGCTGGCTTCAGGCCTCTGCCTCCACCACACCCACCACCTTCAGTGCTGGTTCTGGCATCGGAAAGAGAAAGTAGCTCCAAAGAAGCTAGGCAGGGAGCATCTAGAAGGGTAGAGGGAGCAAGGATGTTAGATGCAGCTGAGGGCAAAGAGACTGAATACTCCCATTAGAAGGTCTCTGGGGACTGGAGTGTGCCATTCCAATGGTGCCATAGAGGCAAAACTCAGAGTGACTTTGAAGGAATCTAAGGATCGTAGATAGCAAGAGCAGTGGGGAAAATCAGGCAATACCCAGGCTGGAGTGATAGCACAGTGGGTGGGGCATTTGCCTTGCAAGCGGCCGATATGGCCGACCGGAGTTCGATTCCTCCATCTCCAAGAGGTTACTGGGCACGCTCGAGCAAATCAATGAAGAATGGGAGGACCGTGACCATGACCCAGAGGGGGGGAGTGGAGTCAAGGAAGTGTTTTGTTTGGTTGGTTTTTTATTTTGGTTTGGGGTGCCATGCCTGGACAGTTTCTGACTGCTTTCCCTGAATGTGCTGGGGGCAGGGTGGCATATTCAGTGCCGGGGACTACATGCAAGGTAAGCCCCTTCACTCCTGTACTATTTCTCCAACCCAAAGAAGCATTCTATAGGAAGAACCAAGCAGGCAGAAGAGGAAATAACCTGGAGAAGAAAAGAGAGAAATGTCGGGTGAGACAAGATCCCAGAGATATAGGGAATCTCTCAGAACAAAAAAACCCACCTACCAAGACCAAGAGGAAGGTAAAAAGGAGAAGACTAACTGAAGGAAGCACGACCTTCTAGAAGGACCCGCCGATGGCTTCTCTTTCCCCAGTGAACAAGGAACAAAGTCGATGTCTTGTCATGCACAAATCAGTGACTGATTGGGAAGGAGAGAAATAAGAAAGGGGATATAATCAAGAGGAAAGAGGTATGGGATTTGGAAGGTGAATGTGGCGGGGTTAGAGGGGGAAAAAAAATCAGTAGTTGGGGATATAGATACAGTTGGAAAGAGGATCTGAGAGAGGCAAAGTAGCAAAACATTTGTATTAGTGAGCAGTGGTGAGATAATCAGGATGATGAGGCAGGATGAGGGACAGAGATAGAGCTGAACAATTTAAATAGAGAAAATGAAGCTTGAAAATAAATGGACTGAATGAGAAAAGGAGCAAAGGAATAGAAATCCCTCAGGTTCCATAACAGGTTCAGTCGTGGCGATAGAGTACAGCAGAGTAGTCAGGCCCTGCAGAAAGCTACAGTTTTCAGATCAGAGGCACTGCAGGTAATCACAAATGGAAGGGGGGGGAGGGGGGAGGATGCAGGGAAGGAGGGGAGACAGTGACCAGGGAAGTCAGTGAAAGTGAGGAACTAAGAAGTCCACAATTGACTTCTTTTTGTTTGGTGGCCACACCTGGCAGAGCTCAGGAGCAATATGTAGTGCTGGGAATCAGATCAAACTGGAGTTGCAGCCACAGCTGCCTGCTAGGCAAGCATCTTAACCTTTGTACTCTCTCTACAGCCCCACTGATGACCCTAAAGGGGGGGAGTAGGTGATCCTGACAATGGGTTCTGTGACCCAGAAATAACCAGTTTTAAGAATTTTATACTTATATATCCCTTCTGGCTTAGTTCTTCCTCTAAAAAGTATCTACCTAGATTACTTATCTAAAGGCCACTTTGATTTTGATCGCTGGCTTTGGAGCCACACCCAGAGGTGCTCAGGTCTTACTCCTGGCTCTGTGCTCATGGATTACTCTTGGTGGGTTCAGGGGACCAACCATATGAGGTGCCAAGAATTGAACTGGAACTAGCTGTGTGCAATTTCCTATCTGTACCATTGCTCTAGCCCCTCTGTTTTATTCTGGTTTGTTTTGGTTTTGTTTTGGCTACACCCTGTGATACTCAGAGGTTAATCCTGGTTCTTCACTCAGGAATTACTCCTGGAGGTGCTGAGGCGACCATATGGGATGCCAGGGATCAAACCTGGGTCAGTCTTGTGCAAGGTCAGTGCCCTACACACTATATTATCTCTCCAGACTCTGTTTGGTTTTATTTTCAAGCCATACACTGCTGTGCTCAGGACTTACTCCTGGATCTACACTCGGATCACTCAGGGAGCTCAAGGGACAATAGGGGTTACCAGGGTTCACACTCAGGTTGACTGCATGCAAGACAAGTGCCCCACCTGCTGCACTATCTCTGCACTATCACAGCCCCATCTACACTGCTTAATTCTCATAATTCAGAGCAGCTCTAGAAACTTTTCCTCTCCCAGATGTTCTACAGAGAACTGTAGCCTCCAGAGCAGTGGTCTTCATTTACCAAGGCTGGCAGTGGTAGAGAGTTGAACGCCACTGGTCTACAGCCTTGGTTATAGGTGTCGGTCCATGGGGTGGTGTGCAGGACTGGCACCAGTCCACAGCTGTGGAAAGGTTAAAGAGCACATCTCTAGGGTACACATAGAGGTCAGTCCAGATTTCCTCATTTTTAGGGAAGATATACCGGTGTTGGTCTGCAATCTTTTCTTGACTGTGGTCCCTTCTGTCCTTGTTTCCTTGCTGTGGACACCTAGTCTCATGTCTGGGGCCCCTATTTATGTGATTTTTCACCTATGGCCCCCTTAGAATAGCCAGTTGAGAAATGGTGGTCTTTGCTTTCAATGTAAGAAATACATTCCTGGCTGCTAGAATTCTTGGAATAAGTCACAGGTCAAAGTCCTTTGACCCACAGGTCATTAAGTCCTTTCTCTCCACTAGGAGAGAAAGGACTTAATATAACTATGCTAAATGGATTTTGATATTATCGTCACAGGTAAAAAAAAATTTCCTCATTACTTAGTTATATGCAGTTAATGCAACAATGTCCATTCAAAACTGAAATTAATTCAACTTATAGTTTACAGTGGAGGAAGAGTTATTATGATGAATTCATTCAAAGAAGTCATTACAAAGTCAAAGTGGAAGAATATGCAGTATGTCACCAGAAAACTGGTTTAGTTCCTCATTGGCAGCTCCTTGGGATGAAAGTTTAGCATACAAAATTCCAGATGTTTATGACATAACCATTATTTATGTTAAAACTTTCAGAAGGTACATTCAGATCCCTGATATTCATTCTCTCTCCCAGCCTCATTCTGGTTCCTATGTAAGCCATCCTTGGTCTACGCTCATCTCTCACTGATTTTATCTCTCAGGGTCCACACTGGTCTAGTGCTGGTCTGTCTAAGCCCCCAGCTGTCATCTTGGTCAGTGGTTGATGATCTGTGGTCTGTCACAGGGGCTCCACGGGTGCCTCTCAAGGCCCTTAGCCCAGAAACTCTTTGTCCCTTTGGCTTCCTTAGTTCTCCAGCCACATGCATGTGGATAAGAATCGCTGCTGCTCTCCTGGGGCACAGGTGAGGGGTTAGAGAGAAGCTCAATTTGCAGGACAAGAACATTAGAGCAAAGAGACTGCTGTTGGGTCTGGTGCAAAGTGGGGTCAAAGAGGGATTGCTTGACCTGTGTTATCCTTTAAGTGTTATTATTCCCTCCCCTCCCTAGCTATTTCCATTAATTATCTGACTGGCCACCTCTTTGGCAGACAATATTTAAAAGGGCCAATAAAATTAACTAGATTACTAGGCAGCACTCCCCAGTGCTCTCCTTCTACCACAGACATAAAAGAAAATGAAAGGGAACATGAATTGTTACCCAATTCATAAATAATCATTAAGTACCTATGAAAAGCCATATGCTAAAAAAAATTTTTTTAATGCAGTGTTGGCTTTTGTCCTTAGCTCTAAATGTCTCTAAACTTAACCGGTGTATAAGTATTTTGTGTTTAGTATTTTAATTTATGTCAAAATTACATATTCCAACAGAGTGAAATACACTTTTGGGGAGAAAGGGGTCATTTGTGGTGCTCAGGGGTTACTCCTGGCTCTGCACTCAGGGATCACTCCTGCAAAGGGATCAAACCTGGGTCCTTCACATGCAAAACCTACAGCACCTACCCGCTGCACTATCGCTTCACCAGCCACCCCCTTGAATTATCCTCCTTGTTTATGATGCAGTTCCCTTATCTTCAACAGTAAACTGCTGAAAATGCCATCAAGCTAACCTTATCTTACCTATTTAAATAGGAAGGAGCCTGCATCATATACTCCTTTGCTTATTAACAAGTTGGGCAAAGAGAGGACACTCCCAGTCTCGCTCAACAACAACAACAACGACAACAAAAGGGCCAAGAAAGAAAAATATCCCCTGAAAACAAATTAAAAGTTGTTTTCTCTTAGAATATTAAGAATATAAAACTGAAACATCCTTAGATGAGTTAAAGTTAAGCTCTTTGAAATGTTCAGGGCGCTGAAACTATCTTATGGGAAATACTGGCCATGAATTCATCTACCCATGAACTTACAAAGCCTCTCGGTGGCCGGGTAAGGTGCTTTCACGTAGCCTACCCCGGTTGGATCCCAGGTACCGCACACGGTCCCGGAGCACCCTGAGTAAGTAAGGAGTAAGTCCTAAGTACCGCCAGGTGTGGCCCCCAAACTGAAAAACACCGGAGCCTGCCCCAGTTTATCTTTAACCTCGCTGTTCTCTTATGCAACGCGCTCTCTTGTTTCCCGGGACTCCTAGAACCTTGGACTCCGGCTAGCTGTTAGTTCAAGCACCCAATAGTTGTCCAGTACCTCAGAGCCCCACCTTCCTGAAGGCCAATGAGGTGAGTCCACAATTTTAGTGGCTTCTTGGAGGCCTGGGAGAGCGAGCCAATGAGATGGCGAAGCTGACTCCTGGCCCCGCCTCCGGATCTGAGGGCGGGGCTCCGCGCAGCAGACCGGAGGATGGCGGCGGCCGCGGTGCTGGCTCCGGTGCTGCGCGTGGCGCGCCGGGCCCTGGTGGCTGCGGGGCCACGGGGGGCACAGGTGAGAAGTGGCCGCGGGGTCAAGGAGGGGGTCCCGCAGGCATCGACCGCCCTCAGGGCCGGGAGTCTTTCGGCCCAGATCCCGGCTCTGCGCGCCCGGCCCCGTGGGGCGCCCTCCAGGGCTGTGCACTGACGTCGGACAGGCCCTCGCGGCCGCCTGAGCTGCCTGGCGCCGAGCTGTGTCTTTGCAGAGGCGTGGGCAACGCGGGGAGAAACGGGGTTCAGCCGTGCCCAATTACTGCCTTCTCTTAAGCCCGCCGCGAAGCCCAGGCCTGCCCTGAGCCGGCCTCTCTAATGCTCCCTGCAGGGCGCGAACCTTACCTTGCAGCCAATCCTTGCAGCAGAGTTAACCTCGCGTCTTCTCCAGGAGCCAGAATGCGTCCAGGCTCAGATTCATCCTGTCCATTTTCCCCCACCCCCCACCCTAATGCGACTGCCTCCCGCCCCCAACCTGGTCTGTCCCGCTATACACGGGTAGTCGAGTTCACTCACTGAACAGCTTCCCCGCACAGATTCAAGCCACTGGACTTAAATACACAGTTGAGAGATGAAGGGGCCAGCCGGAGAAATAGGACAGCATGTAGGGCGCTTGCCTTGAACCTGACAACCCTTATTTCATTCCCCCGAGCACCCTTGGGAGTAATTTCTGAGTGCAGAGTGAGGAGTAACCCCTGAGCATCGCCGGGTGTGACTCAGCCCCCCCCCCCAACCAAAAATTAAAAATAAAAAGAGCAAGGACCTGAAAAGATAGTACAGCGGGTAGGATGTTTGCCTTGCATGCTATGGCCCAGTTTGGTCCCTGGCACCACATGTTTACCTGAGCCCACCAGGAGTGATCCCTGAGCACAACCCCTATGACTTGCCAAAAAAGCAAATGTGACCGACCAGAGACCTCCTGCCAAACACGGCCATAAAGCAAGAATAAAACAGGTAACATTCCTTATAAGTCAGAAAAGAAAGTGGGAACCTATTATCAAGGTGAGGACAAATGGAAAGAGCTGGCAGTCTTAAGAGAGAATGCAAACCATTCCCAGTCCCTCTGTATTAGAAGGATTTGATCTCAGGTAACATAGGAACTGTCCAAGTGCTCGTTCTGCAGCCTTTCTGCAGTCTTTCCTTTGAACAGCACCACATTTCCTTGACATAGGCACAAGAATCAACTGCACTGCAGAATCCTGTATTGTGTAACTTTTGTTTTGCTTAGGGGCCACACCAAGCAGTGTTCCTGCTGGGTGCTCAGGGTCGCACTGGAGGACAATGTGATGCCTGGGATCAAACCAGGCTTTTGCATACAAAGTATGCACCTGCCCCCACTGTGCCATCTCCTCAGCTCCAGTGCCTGTGACTTAACCTGTTCGCCCCTGCCAAGAAAGCCCATGTCCTATCTCTGCTGTTGATGCCTTGAATATGAACTTTTTCTTGGTGTGGGAACCACAAATAGGTTGTTAGAAGGGAGAAGTTAAGTACTATTAGAGCCCAGCCTGTGCCAGCCCTGCCTGAATACATGGGAGAGGTGTCACCAACTCCTGTCTTGGCTACATCTAACCCACGTTCAGGTCCGAGGAGTCTCAGGTGTGACTGATGGGAATGAAGTGGCAAAGGCCCAGCAGGCAGCTGGTGGAGGACCGGCCCCAACCATCTTCTCCCGTATCCTGGATCGAAGCCTTCCAGCTGACATTCTCTATGAGGACCAGCAGGTGGGGTGCCCTTAGGACCCATTCAATCCCCTTAGGAATATCACAGCTAACATCCAGCCTGTTGAAGTAACATGGTCACCTCTGGCCTGCCCCAGTGTATGGTATTCCGTGACGTGGCCCCTCAGGCTCCTGTACACTTCCTGGTCATTCCTAAGAAACCCATTCCGCGGATAAGCCAGGCTGAAGAAGAAGACCAGCAGGTAGGAAGAACAGGGCCAAGGTTTGACGGGGACCAGCTAGAGGTTTGGCTCTCTGTTCAGTGAAACCACCTTGTCTGTCTGCCCTTTCAATGTAGCTTTTAGGACACCTTCTGCTTGTGGCCAAGAAGACAGCAAAGAGTCAGGGGCTGGGAGATGGATATCGAGTAGGTATGTAATTTTCAGCTTTCGAAACCCTGACCTATAAATTCTTACACCTGCCTCTCAAAACAGTCTTTGTTCTGTGACCTTCCCATGATCCGGACCCACTCCTAACCTCAAGTTCCATTTCAGTGATCAACGATGGGAAAATGGGCGCACAGTCTGTGTATCACCTGCACATTCACGTACTTGGAGGGCGACAGCTCCAGTGGCCTCCAGGCTGAACCTACCAACTGATCAAAGACCCCAGACCTGGATGCTTGGAAGGGTTGGAGGAAAGGGGACCCTGTGATGCTAATAAACCTGCTCACTCTCAATTTTGGATCCTTGTCTTAACTATTTTTGAAGAACTGCCCCAAGTAGACACATACCCTTAACAGTAGGCTTAGTGAGAACATTATCTATTGAATCATAGTGAGATATACAGTTGAACTGGATTGAGTTCATTTATATAACTTTCCAACACCTATTCCTTCACCAGTATATATTTCCCATTGTAATGCCCCCAGTTTCCCTCCCCCTCCCCCTGATGTAGGCAGGTAGACAGGGAAGGCCCCCCTCCCGAAGCAATGACAAAAACCAGCCCTGCAGAAAACAGGAACTAAGGCTAAATATAAATAAGATCCTCACCTGGCTTCAGCAACAGACCCAAAGAAGCTCCTGCAGGAACAAAAGGCCAGGAAAGGAATTTCAAAGAAGACCATCACCACTCCCATCCTCCCTGGTAACCTCCTTAGCAACAGACTTTTACCTGGGAAGAAGTCCCACGTGGGGGCAGGTTGGAAAAACCCTATAAAGGCCACCTTGAACAAAGGAAGGGCGTGCATATGCTCCCCGAGCCCATGTGTGCTTGCGCCCATGTGTCCGAGCACATGTATCGCCCACATCTCCCCTCTTGAGATGTGTACTTTCATGCTTTCGTGTCTAACCTTTCTCTCTCTCTCTCTCTCTCTCTCTCTCTCTTTCTCCCCCCCCCCCACTCCGCACCTTAAAAATTCTCCAAATAAAATCTATTTACTTCACTGCTTGTCTACTCCCGAAATTCCTTTCTGTGAGGTGAGACAACAGCCCAGTAACCCTGGGTCCCAGGTGGCAGAGGCGGTTGGGGAGAAAGTGACTGTCTTTCTCCTTCCCACTTCACATAAGTCACCCGTGGGGCCCACCGACATCACCCCCACCTGCCTCTGTCAGGCACTTTCTCTCTGTGAGAACTTTTACCTATAGATATGTGAGTTCTCGTGATTTGTATCTGCCTGGCTTAAGGGTCTAGAAAAGTAGTTGAAATATGACCAAATGAGTAGATAAAGATTGAAACAGAGTGAGACCTGGTCTATCCAAGCCCTTATTTAGACACCAACTTTACAATTGGGGGAGTAGAAATGAGGCTGGGAGCATGGTGTGAGGGATCAAACCCAGGGCTGCATGCATGTGATTTGCCACCAAGTCCCCACTTACCCCCAAAAGCTAGGGGTTAAGGGGATGTGGAGGTAATGTGAAGGCCTTTCACTGATGCCATTGTGAAAGAATCCATATTAGGGCATCAAATTTTTGTGTACTTCAGCTAACTTGCAACATTGCTTTCTGTAAAACTGCTTGGCTGCTTTGCACCTGGGGGAGAGGGGACTTGGAAAGTGAACAGGGCATAACTTCTTTCTAAACCAAGTGTGACAGGATTCAGGTGTATTTACTGTTCCTGAAATGTATTGTCTCAGTAAAGCACCCTGCAGATTTGGGTAAAGGATAACTCAGGATGCGGGTGGTTGGGGGAAATTGCCCTTTCCTGGAGTGTATTGTCTCACTAAAGCACCCTGCAGACTTGGGTAACTCAAAACGAGGATGGTCAAGGGAGATTGCCTAAGGCTTAATGATTCCGGCTATAACCTTGCTTGTGCTGACAATCGATGTACGTAAATGCTGATCTTTGAATCTATAGGCTAAGGAGTGAGGTACTTTTAAATGGATTGGTTAAGAAAGTATATGTTATTACAAATCTATTGGCTATGAAATGTGCGGGCTTTGCTGTAACGGCCAGTGAAGGCCTATATAAGATCCCCTTTGAAGAAGTTCGGGGCTCTCAGCCACTGCTCATTTTGGGGTATGCTGCGGAGCCCCAGCATGCTGGTCTAAATAAACCCCGTTTTTACTCCTGCAGGAATTGTGTCTATCTGGTCTCTCCGTGCCTCCCAGGGCTAGGGAACTCCCGATCCCAACAATTGCATCCCCAAAATTTACTTCCCTTTAAGTAATAACACTCCCCTTCCCCAGTTATCACTACCTTTAAACTACCACCTAAACTATTTTCATCTTTGAAAAAATTGAAGACTCCCCTCACTTTTGAGAATGAAATAAAGGGAAGTTACTGTTGCGCCCCCCCCCCCCCCCCACCAAGAACACACCAAGTGGGCTTTTGCCTGATACCACAGCTCTGCGCCTGTTCGCAACACAAAGAACCACCGCAGAAAAACGCAGACGACCTGAATGAGGTACCCGTGGCAAGACCTTTGGCCGCGGAACCTTCAAGGCCGGGCTCAGGCGGAACCGAAACCTGACGGACGACCGGAAAGCAGGCTTCCCCGACCGTGGCGACTTCCGCCCGGCTTGAGTTCTGCGCAGACTCTGGAATTATTTACCGTCGCTATAGCAACCTGGGGTCGGTGGCTGAGCGCAGCAGGGCTCGGGCTCGAGGCGTGCTGGGATAGACGTCGCTGGACTTACCTCTGCCCAGTTTTCGCCAGCGTGGGCGCGTTCACTTCCTTTGGAATCTGTAGACTTTTCATCCCAGTGGAGAAGAATCAGGCTCGCGTGCAGAAGATGTTCCCGAAGCTACAAGTGCTGCAGCCTTCTACACAAACTGCAACCGCCCCAAAGTTGTCCTCGGCCGGCTGTGACCCTGGGTTGCCCGTGCCTCCGTCTTCAGGCAGACTTAAGGATGAGTCTTGCTCCAGCGTGTATGTTACCCCGGAGATAGGCTATGAGCACGTCCGTGGTCCCAGCTATGCCCGGGACCCCACCATTGCCCATGAGCCCTGTCCTGGCTCGCCCCCTCCCTGTGAGCCCCACGCCGGTGTTGCTCTCAACACCGATGCCCTCTGCAGTCCGTGCGATAAACGAAGTCCTCAGAAACAACCGCCCTGCATGCCTCTGCAGCCCTCGGAGCCCAGCCTCTACGGGGTACAGAAGCTCCCCGTAGACAAAGGGCCGTGTCCAGTGTTCACCGCAACCCCGCCAAGAGGCCAGTGCCTTCTCCACAACTGGACGGAGGAGGTAATGAAGCTTTGACCCGTCCCATTCCCTCAAGGCTCCCGAGGGAGGCAGTAGTGTAGGACAAGGGTGGGTTTCCAGAAGAATGTCCGTGTCACTCAACTTGTGGCCCACAGAGAGCCACCAACCACTTGGATCAAGTCCCAAGCATGCAGGATGGCTCCGAGAGTTACTACTTCCGAAACGGACACCAAGGACTGCTGACCCTGCAGGCACCGGCACGCCTCAGCACCACCCAGCGAGATTCATATCAGCACCCAATGCGGCTGGGGCAACCATCTAAAGGTGTAACACATGAGAGATTGAACCAGCATGGGTTCGTGAGAAAGCAGTTTCTGTAGGATTTTGGGTTGTTCCACCCTGATGAGTTTAGTATCCCCACAGCTATGCTACTCCACCCCACCCCCCCATTTCTTCCTTCACTTGTGTCTCCCAAGGGTCTGCTTCATAATCACGGTCTCTGTTCTGTCTCTCCCTCCACCTCACACAGGAAAACGTGAAGCCATGACTGAGATACTCCTGCACCATCAGATCAGGTGAGAGGTTCGGTTGAGGCACAAGGGGAGCGGGGGAGAAGGCAGAAGCCAGGGGAGCAACCCCTGACCCTCTCAGAATTCCGAAGGAAAGAGATGCAGGCAGAAGAGAAGCTCACCAGAGTACAGTGTGAGATGGAATCCGTAATGCACCGGGACTATAAAAGGGAGCTGGTGCAGGCAGGGCCTCCTGCCCCTAAAAAGGTGAGATACCCCAGCCCCAGCCCCCCTTGCACAGCAGGAGCTTCCAGCCAAGAGTTACTCCAAGAGTTATCCTGTCTCTCCTCTCCCAGCCTCATAACTACCAGCAGGAGCAGCCGGAAACCTTCTGGTTACAGAGAGCATCGCAGCTGCCGGTGAGACACTGATGGGGCGTTGGCAGTGAGGAGAGGAGGAAGAGGCTGTGGTGGTTTGGAGGAGAGGCGGGGGAAGGGAGGGGGAATCTGTCCTCATTCTGGTCTTCTTCCAGGGGGTCAGTTACATCAGGACACTGGACACGCCATTCCGGAAGAACTGCAGCTTCTCAACACCCGTGCCCTTGTCTCTAGGGCAGCCACTGCCCTATGAGTCTGAGGACTAGTCTTAAGGACAGGGAGGATTCTCTCCTCCCTTGCCATCAAGCAAGAGGGCAGGGTGGTGGGAAGGGACAGAACTCCTGTCTAGGGACTGAGGGTGGAAGCAGGGTATAGAATATGGATTCTTATTTGTCTGCTGCACAGGTGGGAAGTGACTTCCATCTACACTTGGTGAAAAGCATTAACATAAAATGACCTCACACCTCTTGACATGGTTTATTCCACGATTCCATAAGCTGCTTCTAGTCCTTGAAGATGCCCCTAACCCAGACTGTCACACCACAACTTTTGTTGTTGTTCTATATTTGGCCAAAATATTCTGGTTTAGATACAGATATGTACAGAAGGTCGAAAGGAAGGGGAATCAGGCAAAAAATGGGGGGGGGGGGGGCGGGGGCAGGTCTATGTACAAGGCTGAGCTGCAAAGGCAACAAATTCCAGACGAGGTTGGGTTTGGGGGCTCGCTGGTTTCCAGCTCATGTGATAGTGTCCTTTTTTGGTATGTGAAGAAATAGTGGCCTCTGCCCACCCAGGCTCCAGCCATAGAGACGGTATGAGTTGAGAGGAAGTGGGCCTTACAGGAGCCCCGCAGGTCCTTTCCGCTCTCCCAAAAGCCAGTAAGTTCGCATCTTGCCTTTTCCCTGGAAGAAGGCAGTGGAGAAAATTCAGATTGTTCTCTTCATTCCTTTATCTCTCTCGCTTCCCCATGATTCCATAATCACTTCCAGCCTCCCTTTCTTTGACCACCCCCTCTCCATAGCCTGCTGTCACCTTCATCTCCACATCCCCCCGAAGCTCTAGCTGGAAGCATCCAAGCTCATCCAGGGCATCTTTGGTGGTGGAGGAGACATGAATCTTCAGGGCTGGAAGGATGGAATGGGAGTATGGCAAGAATAGTTCATGAAAAAACAACAAAGGAATTTGTGGTCTCAGAGAGAGCTTCTTCACCCCCATCCCTAGGTGTTCTTCATCTCCCCAGTATATATGCATTTGTTTGAGACTCTGCCCAAAGATGGGGTAGTTGGAATCGAGATGAGAAACCCTGAAAGGAAGAGAAGGGCAATCTGCTAAAGCTATGGCAGAGGAATGCTATCTCACCCTGACCATTAGACTCCATTCGGGACGCTGTGTTCACTGTGTCTCCAAAAAGGCAATAGCGGGGCATCTTCAGGCCAACGACCCCAGCACAGACAGGTCCTATGAGAAGAAACAGGTTGGAGATCCTAGAACAGGTTGAAGGTCCTGGAACAAGGGCTCGAATGAGAGTCACCCTTACCTGTGTGGACCCCGATGCGTAATCTCAGCTGGTCATGGGGCCGGTGGCGGATGCGGAAGGAAGAAACTGCATCTAGCAATGCGAGGGCCATGCGAGCAATTTCTGGAGCATGGCGTTGGCCATTTCGGCCAGGGAGGCCAGATACCACCATGTAGGCATCTCCAATTGTCTCTACCTGGTCGAGAAAGGGATCCAAAGGTCACTACTACCTTATAAGGGAGATTAGGGGAAGGTGGGCATACAGCCCACTCAAAATAATTGCCATGGTCTGAGGCTTTGGAGGACATTCAAGCCCTTGGCTCAGCACCTGGTGAAGAGTCAGCAGATGTTTGCTGAATGAACAGGCATGCTGACACTACCATAGCATGAGCGAACAGGCTTTGTTGTCAGAATATTGAATGACTAACACGGGGCTGACCGGAAGAGCATGAAGGCTGATGAGGAAGCCCAGCAGGAACCTGAACTGGGCTCCAGACAGCCTGACCACATGAGAGTGGAGAGTTGCTTGAACTCATTGTTCCACTCTGGACTGTTTAAGGGATAAAGGGGTGCTGTGACTGAAACTTTTTTTTTATTAGTGAAACACCATGAGGTACAGTTATAGACTTACAATTTTTTGTGCTTGGGTTTCAGTTATACACTGATCAAGTTCCCATCCCTCCACCAGTGCCCATCTGAAACTTAATCTCCAAGAGTTCCAGAAACAATTTTATAGACACACGAGTAAATATTTTTTAGTGATACTGCTGGGAGACTACTAAATTATTAGTATATCTGGGTAAGAGAGTGTATAAGTTCTTTGTTCCAGTAATAGAGAAATATAATAACAGATGACAGGGTTAGTCCAAAAGTAAGAGACAGGACTGACATTATGTGTACAATGTTGGACAAGTTCCACAACCATACTATTTTCCCAACATATTGATAAGATACCTTCCAACTCAGGAAACTTCTGCTGCCTGCCGAAGGCCACACACTTAGCAGCAAAGCCAAATACACCAATCCAGGGCATCGCTGTTCTCTCAATCACAAGAGGGGCTGCCCCCTACCAACTCAGCAAGTTCGACAGAAAATGTTTATGTCATAGTCAGATCCTGCAGCCCTATAAATCACTCTGTGCCCATATCCTGTATGGTGTTTCCATGAGTGGAAAAGAGCAAAGAGCAGCAAATCAATCATATGATGGTGCCAACTGAGGAAGCTTAACAATTCCTAAGATGAGACTGCAATGTAGGCACAGAACCAGAACCTCATTTGCCTATGCTGAGAGGCTGGGGGCCAAGATGACTCCAGGTTAGGGCAGGGGTGGTCTGTGGAGTCCCAGAAGACTGGATTTTAAAGTTGGTGTCAGGAGAAAGGTAGCCCTAGCTCTCACCTTGTAAACATCAAAATTGTCGATGATGGCATCAAAGCAGGTGTACAGGTCATTAAGAAGTGTCACCACCTAACAGGATGGCAAAGTAGAGGCCCTGAGTCTTGTGCCCCACTTGTGACCCACAGGCGGTCTCCAGAACAAACCTTCCCTGTTAGCAGGGTCACCCACTCCACCCCGGTGTCTCATGCATAGCTCTCACCTGCATGGGGGTGCTCTCTGCTGACAACGCGGTAAAGCCCACAATGTCACTGAAGTAGATGGTGACACTGTCAAAGGCCTCTGCCTGCACAGTCTCACCCCGCTTTAACTGCTCTGCCACCGAGCTAGGAAGCAAGCAAGAGTGAGAGTTGAGCCCAGCTCAGAGATAGAGCATGGGAGAGGGAGGAAGGAACAGTGTGTGTGTCTGGGACAAGCAACTAGGATCACAGAAGCAGAGGCTGGCAAAGGAGAAGGAAGGTAGAAGGGAAGACATCATAGTCTAGCCCAAAGGAAGGTGTGTAAGTGGGGGCTGTGGGCAGAGATGAGAAGGGACCCCTCCCCCGGAATGGAGTAGAAGAGGGCTGGGGAAGCCAAGTAGACTCCCTGGGCCACATTGAAGACGGGGCCTCCAGCCAGAATGGCTCAGCATGGTGAGACGTAACAAAGCAAGGGGTTAAGGATAGGAAATAAGTTCTTAGGGGTGTGATGTGAGGCAAAACCCAACAGAGCAGAACACCAAGGGAAAATTCGGCGCAGGGACCCAGGGCCTCACTGGGGCAGAATTTGGTAGAGCAGCGCCTCTGCCTTGCGCTTCTCCTCCAGGTAGGCCTGCGTGCGCTCCTCCACTAGCTTCTCCAGGTTGTTGGCGTACTGCTCCATACGCAACAGGAGGTTGTCCAGGATGCTGGTGCCCCCCTCCCTAGGGGGAGACCAGGAGATGGCACCTACTCCAAGATTCTCACTCTCAGCTCTGCCTAGTCACACAGCCCTCTGCCCCCCGCCCCCCTCCCCCCACGGCCCCACCTCATCCACTGAGACTGGCTGGACTTCTATCCCTGGGCATCTCTGCCCCCTAGTGCCTTCTTACTTGTTAAAGCGGCGAATGAAGCCCTTAATCTGCCCAAAGTCAGGTCGCTCTGCTGGGTCCTGGGCCCAACATCGCTCCATCAGCAAAACTAGCTCTTCGTTCAGTTGGGTCCGGTCGATGCTTGGTCGGAAATAAGGTCGCTGACCATTTCGGACCTTCTGCACAATCTCTGAGGGTTTACACGAAGGGTTTAGATGAAGAACTGGAAACTTCTTTTATTCCTGTATAAAAGAGTCTACGGGGAGGAGATTGACTCACCTTTGGGACTGAGATCAAGTCCCTCCAAGTAGAAAGGACCACTTCGAAGAGCTATCTCCTGTAAGATGATCCCAAAGCTATAGACATCAGCCTTCTGCATGCCGGCAGTTGGCAAGGAATTCCCACTGAGAAGTTCTGGGGCAGTCCACAGCTTCTCTGAAAAGAGGGACCAGGCTAGTCAGGTCCCCTCAAAGGGTATCCCCAAGACTACCTAGCCTCATTCCCATTGCACTCCCCATCTCACTGTTAGTTCTATCTCCCTCTACCACCCGCCTTGGTGGAAATGATCAGGACCACAGAGCAACATAAAGTGGACTGTAGGGGAAGGCCTCACTGGCATAGAGGGCGTGGCTGTCATCAGGTTCTGCGGTTGATCGGAAGCTGGCCAGGCCATAGTCTGTGATTTTGAGCACAAAACGACTATCCACCACACAGTTGGAGGACTTGAGACTCCCATGGGATGCAATAATGCTGTTGTGGAGAAAGGCCATGCCCTGCAGGATACAGATTAAGTCATAGGATTGGGTAATCTCTACCAGCTCTCCACAAAATGGGATTTAGGTAGCTGTCAAAAGATTTTGGGATCACAAAAACAATAAGCTAATTTTGGAGGGCCTCCTTTACATGATTTCCACCCGAGGAGGCAGACGAAATAGAAAAATTCTCCCTTCCCATTGCTTTAGGCAGTCTATAGGCATCCAGGTTATCAAAGATAGGAGAAACACTTTAGGGAAGAAATAAGAAGAGCCAGCCATTATTATGCTGGAAAGGTATCCTTTGAAGGGTGATGAAAACAGAGCTCTTAGAACTCCAAAAAGGATATGACATTGTGGTGCCTCAAGTTTGTGGCCACTAATTCAGAAGACATGGTTTGAAACACAAATATCAGGAGTACCTAGGTGAATGAAGAAGACTAACCAATTGCAACTTGAAAACACAACCCATATAGGCAGTCGGAATGGAGGAATAAGGTGATCCACTGAAGGACTTGTGAGGTCAAGAGAAAGTGGAGAAAACAGTAAGTTAGAAAAATCTGGGAAGCAGCCATGTGAAGTGCAGCTGTCCAGCCAGCACAGAAGACTGGCACTTCTGGCCCCCCAGAGTCAGAGTCTTTGCCCCAGTCTTTGTCCCATGGGACTATAAGGCTATAGAGTCAGAAGATGCAGAGTGGTATTTCCCAGCAGTGATCCATCTGCCCAGATGGAACAGGGTGAGGACAGTGATCCATATGCTCACCAAATACTAAATGCTAAATGCTTAGCTCTGGGCCTAAACAATTCATTGTTATAGTCTGTGAACTCTTATTTCTTATTCATTTTGATATTTGCAAAATCTTTGGAACTCCCAAGATAACTAAAAGCAGAAAAAAAATTGGCCTTCTTATCTCGTTCTTAATTTTCTTCTTTAAAATTATTGTTCACTTGGGGCTGGAGACATAGTACAGCAGGTAGGGTGCTTGCCTTGCTTGCAGCCAACCTGGGTTCAATCCATGGCACCCCATGTGGTCCCCCAAACCAAGCCAGGAGTGATCCCTGAGCACAGAGTCAGCAGTAAGCCCTAATCACTGACAGATGCAACCCCAAAGCAAACAGAATCAAAACAAATTATTAGAGTCATGACTGTCTTATGTTTATCATCACTCGTCTACTTGAGTACCACATCAAATTTTTCTAATATTTTTTTCTCATTTGAAGGCAAACTTTCATGCACACATACAAAAGCAATTTTTAACGACTTCATGTGAATTAACCAAAAGACCAAAACAAGCTTCAGGTGTGGCATTAGCAATACACAAGAATGGCTTGCTGACTATGGGACCTGCTTTTCTTTTTTTTGTTTGTTTGGTTTTTGGGTCACACCCGGTGATGCACAGAGGTTACTCCTGGCTCATGCACTCAGGAATTACTTCTGGCTCGGGGAACCATATGGGATTCTGGGAATCGAACCCGGGTTGGCCATGTGCAAGGCAAATGCCCTACCCACTGTGCTCTCGCTCCAGCCCGGAGGACCTGCTTTTCAACATCTGTAAAACTCATGTAAGATTTATATTTATTTCTCCACAAATTTATGGATTTAGGAGGTGCTTGAAAATACCTGGATCCCAGTATATTGGGACATTTCAAAGTTGTAATACAATTTCCAATATTTCTCTTAGATTTACTAGTAAATTTTCTAATATTTCCACTTGGGTGGAATGAAAAAGACAGTACAGGGGTTGAGGTGCTTGCTTGCATGTGGCTGATCCTGGTTAGATCCCAAGCACTGCATATGGTCCCACAAGCACCAGTGTGGTCCCAAATCCTCAAAAAAATAAGATTTTTGAACAAAAGAAGATATGCCAAATGTTGGTGAGTGAATAAATGAGAAAAGCAGGTGATAAATGCATTTGAAAACCATCTTTTCCTCACTAAAGAATTTCATTCTAAATTCTTGGAGGGTTATTAAAAATGAATGAGAGATGTGAAGCCTAAGTCTAAAGAGAAAAAAATCCTCTCAAGTACAATATTCTTTGTGACAGAAAATCTCATTCTCCCACCCCATGGTTATTATTCATGTCTTTATCACCCAACTGTAGAATAATATCCCACATGGAAAGAATCCGACTTTGAGAGGGCTAGACAGAGACAAGCAAAGACAGAATGAGAGAGGCATTTAAGAGTGGGGAAGACTCACCTTAACAAGGTCGTTAATGAGTGAATAACGGAACATCCAGTCCAAGTTGATGCTGTCATTCTCCAGAATATCCTGTTAAGCAACACCAAATGCTGTAGATCTCTGGAGTCTCTCTACCTAGCACTTGTGGCCAGTCAGTGTAACTTAGGGCCTCTCTCCCCACTGCCAATCTCCCGCTCTCCCTCACCTGCAGACTCCCACGAGGACAATACTCTGTGACAATACAGATGTTGGGAGGGTCTATACAGGCACCAATGAAGCGAGTGAGATGGTTGAACTGAACATCTCTCATCTAGCAGAAAACAAGGAAATGGGGTGGAAACGGTCATGGGAATAGCTATTAGAAACAGAAACCCAACTAGTCTTTCTCTTGGCTACCTGGAGTTGAAATCATTTCTAAGTAACCCCCTTGCCCTCATCCAAACAGACCCTCCCATTGCCTTCCCCACCCCCTCTCCTATTCCTAGCTGACCCCTCTCTTGAACCTATACCCCATCACATACATGCTTGAGTTCAAACAGAACCTGCCGGGTCAACTCAATGCGCTTCTTATTCACATGTTTGATGGCAACAACATTTCCCTGAAGGTGAGAGTGAGAGGAAAGAGGAAAATTAGCATCAGAGAGAGTTGCTGGGAGCCAGGAAATAACTGGAGAACTGCAGAGCATCCGGATGCTCAGCCAGGCACAGAGAGGAAGATTCATGGGAAGACAGAGGTTCATGGGAAAAGGTGGCAGATGGGAATGAGACAGGATGAAATGACGGGGACCAGAACAAGCGGATGACTGTTCACCTTGAAGTGACCGGTGTTGGCAAAGATCTGGTATTTCCCATGGGCTGTCATGAGCGAGCCGTAACTGGATCCCCGCTGGGGCCAAAGGCAACATGGAGGCGGAAGGATGAAAGACACATTAGATGGTGGTGGCAGTGTGGGGACCATCATTCCAGGCCAATGCACTGGGAAAGATCCTGGGGAGGGGGAGACGACGACAACGGACTCAGAGGGAAGCAGAGGGACAGCTGGGACCAGGACTCACCAGCGACAGAGTCAGGCGGCTGCCTGCACCTTTATGGCAGCGCTCCGAGTTGCCAAACTGCAGCTCCTCCCAGCGAATGCGCCAGAGCATGCTCGCCAGCTCCTTCTCCAGCATGAGTTTTCTGTAAGGACTGCACACCTCAGTTGACTGGCCAGCCCAGTCCTACCACCCCAGCAGCCAGCAAGGAGGGCTGCAAGCTCTTCCCCGCAGCTCCTGAAGCTGCCATCCTCAGTAGTCCTGTAGCTGGGATGGGAAGCGAAGGGAGCATTCCCTCCCCACGCTCTGGGAGAAGCCCCGGGGCTAGAGGTCAGAGTTCTTTAAATGGTCGCATCCACGGAAAATCCCCCTTAGCAGAATCACTGTCCAGATAGTGGATCCAGTCCAGAATGACAAGTGGGAAAAGGAACGCCTAGGCTCCAAGACAAGGAAGAAGGCTCATGGGATCAGGGCTGTGACTCAGTGGCAAAGGACAGGCCTTGCATGTCTTAGACCTGGGTTCAAACCCCAAATACTGCAAACAAGAAAAAGAAAGAAAAGAAAAGAAAGAAAGACTAGAAAGGGCAGTATTGGGTATAAGTGACAACCACCACTCTGAGAGGTTGTTTCTCCCACCCACTGTTAAGGGACTAAAAAGTGATCTGGAAATTTGGGAGCTCGGGGGAGAGGGGACAGGGTGGGGGTGGTGGAGGCAGGGTGGGCGAACAAGTCAGTGAAAGTACAGAACTCACCGGAAAATAAGGAAGCTGGAAACCCCAAACATGATGAAGGTGATGCCCGTGCCCAGCGCCACAATGGCCAGAGTGGAGAGTGGAGCTGCAGGGGAGAGGGGGACCCTGAGAAAGACTGAGGGAGCAGTGAGGATGGGGAGGGGGTGATTCCTGGGTGGGGGACAAGAAGAGGCGCAGTGTCAAAGCAGAGGTAAAAATAAAACAGAGCCAGCGTGGCGTAGCGGAGTCAGGGGGCAGAGTCAAAGGAGGCAGGGAGAGCGAGGAAGGATGGATTGCTCCCAGTCCCTGCACACACCCACTTTTATCACAGGACGGGTCGTCCAAGTCAAAGGCACAGGGGGGGTTGTCCAAGGGGGGCGCCCCTTTCACCCAGGGGATAGGCCGCCCTGTCCACCAAATCTGCTTCTCGGCTCCCGAGTAGTGGGCTGCAGGCTGCGAGGAAGGACAGAGCTAGGCCCCCGGGCCTGCTTCCCTGGCCGCCTCCCCCAGACCGCAGCTCGGGGGCTGCTTTTCTCCTGACCCTCTTCCCCTGCCCCGCATCAAGTCCCTGCCACTGGTGCCTCTGCTGCTGGCCCCTCCGCCTTGCACCCTGGAAAGTAGGACCTTCAGGGGCCCCACTCTTCCCCGCCTCCTCCCCCAGCACCTGGAAGTCTCCAGAATCCAGGTCTCCCATGGCCCACAGGACAAAATCAGTCTCTCGGTCATTGTTCTTGTCCATAACAACCAGCCCGGTCACACCTAAGAGAGAGAGAAGAGTGCTCGCTCCTGTGAGATCTCCACTGAGTCCCTGGCTCAGCCCTGTGGTCACACCTGCACCCTGTCCTCATGAGGGATCCACTTTCGGCCATGTTCTCTGGCCCCCACTAATCCTGCCCCTGCCCACATTTTCTTTGGCCCACTCCACTCCCTAGCCTGAGGGCAGCCTTTGGGGGTCGTGCTGACCCTCTTTATTACCATGGTATCTTCGTCCCTGCATCTTCTCCACGATTCGCAGGCCATCTTTCCGGGTTCCCCCTTCCTGTACGGTCTCATTCAGGACCTCCGCATACAGCATGATCCCATCGTAGAAACAACCGGCGATGAGGTTCATCTGGGGATGGCAACTTTGGCAAGTGCTCCCCCAAAATCCTGGCAGGCCCCCTTCCCCAGCCCACTCTCCCACCATGTGGGTCTTCCAACTCCTCTTGCCTAGGGTTTGCTCTCTGTCGTTTGTGCATTTCTATGGTGCCAGAGAAGGGAGGTTCCTGGAGGGATTACACAGCACCTCACAGGGGCGAAGTCGGGGGAAGAGCTGGTCCTCCAGCCTGACCTCCTCAGAGAAACAGAGACCTGCTTACCAGGGAAGGGGCCAATTCCACACCAAAATCTTGCCGTGCTCTTCTCAGCAGACGATTCTGAAATTCCTGGTACTCAGGATTGGGGGGTTCCCGGTAGGTGATCACCAGCACCGTCTGTACCAACATATGAGGAAGAGTGAATAGGCTTCAAGATGGGCATTAGGGAGGAGAGGAAGCATGGTAGGAAACCAGGAGCATAACACATGATAGAAAAATAAATATGGGTGAGCCTAAAGGCTGAAACTATACTAAATGTGTGGTCTCTGTAGGATGAATGCATCCATAGAGAACCAAAATTTCACCAGAAATAATGAATTCATTCAAGCAGCAGGATACAACATCAAAATGCATACATCTGTTGCATTTCTTCTATATACAACTGAGTTAAAGGAAAGAAAAATTAAGGAAACAACCCTAGGGCCAGAGAGACAACACGGTGGGTAAGGCATTTGCCTTCCATGCAGCCAACCCGACTTCAATTCCCAGCACTCATTGGTCCCCTAAGTACTGCCAGAAGTTTCCCTGAGTATGACCCAGGAATAAGCCCTGAGAACCACTGGGTTTGGCCCAAAAAAACAACCAAACAGGATCCCAGCTATAACTGCACCAAAGAAAGATAAGGACCAGGAAGTAAACTTAACAAAGAAGGTAAAAGACCTAAAGACAGAAAGCTCTTAGATATTGTTAAAAGAAACAGAACACACAACAAAATGGAAAAGCAGCCCATATTCGTGGGTTGGAAGAATAAATGTTATTAAAAGGTCATGTTGGGCCAGAGAGAGTGAGAGACCTCAAGAGACTGAGTGACTGCTCTGCATGCAGGAGACCCAGGTGCAGCCTCCAGCAATGCCATAGTCCACAGAACACCACTGGGGGTGACCCCAGGACACAGAGCCAGGATTAGTCCCTGAGCACCACTGGGTATGACCCAAACAAAACAAACTAAAATCATAAAATAGCCATCTTACCTAAATCTAGCTATAGATTCAAAGCAATCCACATCAAAATAGCTGTGGCATGTTCAAGGAAAAATGTTTCTGGAATCACAAAAATACCCTGAATAGCCAAAGCAATTCTGAGATTTAAAAAAAAAAAGAAAGAAAAATGAAGACATCATACTTTTCTGACATCAAAGTATATTACTAAGCAACAGTAATTAAAACAATATGGTATTGGAACAAAAATAGGCCCACAAACTGATGGAATAAAGAGCCAAGAAATAAATCCAGACATATATGGACAAAAGAGTCAAGTCCATATAATGGAAAAAGGACAGCCTGTTCAGTAGGTGCTGCAGGGAAAACTGGATAGCCTCATGCAAAAATAAATAAATAAATCGCTAAAATTTGATGCAAAAATTAATTCAAAATGGGTTTCGTTAAAAAGTTGGATAGCAGACCAAATTCATAAAATACATATAAGAAACATAGGTGATACATTCTATCACAGATACATTTGGAGACTCAATTTCATTGGTAAGGGAAACAAAAGCAAGGATATACAGACAGACCTACATTACATTTTAAAAGCTTCTACAGAAAAAAACATACACAGAAACAAAGTGGTGGATAGCTTTTGAGAGAAGATATTCATATATCTAAGTAGGCATTGATATCCAAAATATATAAAGAATGCTCAGAAAAGCAAGCAACCAAAGCAAAAAAAAAAAAAAAGGTAAACGAGAGAAAAATACCTCTCCAAAGGGGACATACAGATGGCTCAGATGCATGAAAAAAAATACTATCTCCAATTATTAGAGAAATGTAAATCAAAACTAACAATTCACATCACTGAGAATGCCCTGTATCAAAAAAGATCGGAAATGACAGATGTTGGTGAGAATGTCGAGAGAAAAACAGCCCTGGTACACTGTTGGTGACAATGTAAATTGGTATAACCACTATGGAAAATGGTAAAAATATTTCTTTAAAAAAATAAAAGTGGAAGGGCCAGAGTAGTAGTACAATGAGTAGGGCATTTGCCTTGGACAGGATTAGCCCAAGTGTGGTCCCCCGAGCCCTGCCAGGATTGATGTCTGAGTGCAGAGCCAGGAGTTACCCCTGAGCATTGCCAGGTATGGCACCCAAACCAAAATTAATTAACTAATTAAGTAATATGGAATATGATCCAGCAATACCTCCCTAAGCACTTAATCAAAGGATACGAAAACACTAATTTGAAAGAACTTTTATACTCCTATGTTCATAGAGGCATGATTACAATTGCCAAAACATGAAACCAGCCTAAATGCCCATTGGCCTATGACTGGATAAAGAGGTGATAAGATGATAAATATACTCACCAGAATACCAATCTGTCATGAAAAAGATAAAACTGTGGCTTTAGGGGACTGGAGAGATAATACAGAGGGTAGGGTGCTTGCCTTGCACGACGCCGATCCGGGTTCAATCCCTGGCACCTCATATAGTTCCCCCAAGCCCCATGAGGAGTGATTCCTGAGCACAGAGGGCCAGGATTATGTCCTGAGCACCTTTGGGTGTGTGCACTTCCTTCCCCCAAAAAATAAAAAAAAGAAAAGAAAACTGCCTTTTGGAGGAAAATGAGTGGGACTTAAAGTGATTGTGCTAGGTGAAATAAGGAAGTAAAAGACAATTACTAAATGGGTTCATGCCTATGTGTAATATAAATAAGTAAAATTGATTGGCAAAAAAAGCAACAGAACTCTTAGTTAGTGAAAGCTGTGGTGACCAGCATCAAAGCTTGGGACTGGTGGGAGGAATGGGAGGTAGAGAAGGTTTGGGGGAGGTGGAGCAGCATGGGACCTGGAACTGTGGGTATAGTGAGCCCCATGTACAGAGGTGCTGCGCGATGGCCCTGAAATTCAAGGACACTGTAAGCTAATTATGACTCAACTAAAAAGGGGGGAAAAAACATGAGGGGAGGGAGAGGCGCTCCTTCCTGGAAGGTTAAAAGGAATGCTCTGGGAAGACAGAGCTGGGAAACTGAGAACACCAAACATCATCCTGGAGCCCCTGTTCCCATCAGCCTCCCCAGCAGGCTGCCTTCCCCCTCCCCGCTTTCCCTTCCCCCCAGATCCTCTGCTCTAACTCCTTCCTTCCTGCAAGTGGCTCCTGCTCCAGGGCTCCCTGTGAAGCACGAGAGCAGTGAAGCAGTGCCCCCTACTGTAACACCATCAACAAAATGCGCAGGGTTCCATCGAAGCCCCTTGAACGCTGCAGTATGTTAAGGAGATTTCAATCTTCTGCACCAGGGGAAATTCTTCCCCCAGTGATCCCATGTATGAAAAGCTGGGAGCACTTTCATTTAGCCCTGAAAGGCAGTGCCTGCTGTCAGCATTGCCCCTCCCACCCACCCCCACATACACACTGGCAGGGGCCCCAACACTTGACAGCAGATGTGTGTCCAAGAGAAAATCCCGTGCAAGTATAAGTAGGCATCACAGATGAGTAAGTGGCACCTGTCTGCGTGTCTCTGCCTCTCCATGTGCCTGCTTGGCTCCCACGGGCCTCCCACAGTTCCCCTGCCTGAGGCTTCCCCATCTCCTCAGGCTGCCACTAACCCTGAGACCAATCTCTAGCCTGGAGAGAAAACTGGCTGTTCCACTTCAAGGCAAGCCTTCAGATGAAAATGTCCTGTGACAATGTGGCTGTTCAAAACTCAGCAGTTGACCCTCTCTCTACCTGTGTTGTTGATTTCTGTCTTAGGATGTCCACGAGACCATAGCAATACTCAATAATCACATACGATCTGTTACAGAACAGCCTACTGCAGGGAAAAGACAACAAAGTCAGATCTTTTAAAGGGAGAATGTAGGGGCTGGAGCAATAGCACAGCGGGTAGGGCGTTTGCCTTGCAAACGACTGACCCGGGTTCAATTCCCAGCATCCCATATGATCCCCTGAGCACCGCCAGGGGTGATTCCTGAGTACAGAGCCAGGAGTAACCTCTGTGCATCACCGGGTGTGACCCCAAAAGCAAAAAAATTAAATAAATACAAAGTAAAAATAAAGGGAGAATGTGGGATTTGTTTCTTATTTCTTAATTATTATTTATTTATTTATTTATTATTGGGTGGAGGGCACACCCAGCTGTGCTTGGAGGTGTCTGACTTTGTGTCTGGGCGTTGCTATGGTCTCAGTTCTCCAAGAGACCATCTGGGGTACCAGGGATCAAGCTGGTATAGACAGCAGGCAAGGCAAGCACCTTAACCCCTGTACCATCTCTCCACTTTAACCCCTGTACCATCTCTCCAGCCCCTAATGTAGGTTATAGCAGATTAAAGTTGGCTTTACAGTATCACTATTCTTACTGATGTATTTGAATGTGCGGATTCTCTCACTCTTGGGCAAGACTGAAAAATGAGAAAGGCCAGAGAAAGGGGTTGGGTCATTCATTTAGAGCTCTCCCAAGAATGGGAGAAAAAAGAAGGGAGAATTTTATAGACAAACAATGAAAGAGTTGGAAAAGAGTTGGGAAAAATTAGAAAAGATCAAATCGAGCACAATTTATATTTCAATGTAGACTGATGAAAGACTCGTTTTGTTTTTCATTCATTTGGGGGGAGGGGGTTTCCCCAGTGGTGCTGTCACTCCAACTGGGGCTCCATGGTGCTACAGAACCAGCTGATACCAGGGATAGGACCAAGGACCTCTGCATGCCAGGCATGTATTCCAGCCCTCTGAAGTACCTCCCTGGCCCTGATAGGTTTTTACTCTTCTGGGGGGTGGGGGAATGGGAGGGTGTGGAGGTGATGGGGCATACAACAGCACTCACAGGTTACTTCAGGATAGGCGCTCAAGGAACATGTGGTGCTGAGGCTAGAACCCAGGGCTTCCACATGCAAAGTATGTTCCCCAGCCCTTTGAGTCATTGCCCCGGACTGATTATATGTTTTTACTGCTTTTACAACACCTGGTAATTCTCTAGGTTGGTCTGTTTGCTAGACTGGCAGTTCACAAACTCTGGCTTCCTAACCTCCTTTGCTACGAAAACTTATTAAGAATCCCAAAGAGTTTTTGTTTATTTGGATTATTATAAACATCAATATTTACCATTTTAGAAGTCACAACTGACAAACTTTTGAAACACAAGAAAACACACAAATTTTTTCCAAAAAAAAATGTTTTTAAAATGAGAAAACACAAGCACACCTTCCATAGCTGCCAGAGTGATAACATCATCACTTGTCACGTAGCCCCTGGAAAACTCCACTACACACAAGGGAAGAATGAGAAGGAGAGGCAAATAACATCTCAGGAGTTTAAAAAACTATTTTTAAAAGAGTTTTGTCCTTGTGCTGCCCCTAAAAGGATTTCACGGGCCCCCAGGATCCTAAGACCAAGACCACACTTTTAAATGTGCAATGTTAGATTCTGTTTTGCTGTGGGACAGAAGGAAGGAGGGAGGGAAGGACACAGGGGCAAGAGAGAAGGGGAGGTAGGTAGTTGTATCCCATTTCACAATAAAATCCAAGAAAATCCCTGCTTATTAATTGTGAAAACGATTAATAAGCAGGGACTGGGCCATAGCTCCATGATAGAGCACTTGCCTTGAATAGATGAGACCCTAAGTTTGCCCTATGGCATCCAATAATAATAATAAGAGAAAAAAGTAAGCAAGGGATGCCAAAAATGGTGAAAATTCAGTGGTAAACTGGAATCAAGCATGCAACAGGAAATGTGCATGGGCAGGAGATGGCCACATCGCACCCCCACACCCTTCCTCCCGATCCCACCTGGGCCACAGCAGGAGGCCCCATCAGCTGCAACCTAATTGGACAAAGCAGTCTCCAAGAAGAGATTCTGCCTTCTGTAACACAAAACACATGCCTTAGTGCTCGCCTCCCCTCCTGTAACCAGTGGCCCCAGCCTTCACCTCCTCTCTTGTGAGTCACCCAGGTTGGCCTGCCCAGGTCTCTCACCCTGGAATCCTCAAGCACCCAGCCTGAGTCTTCGGACCCTCCCAGCCCAGCCATTTGCTTACTTCGTGCCACTGTTTCTACTTCATCTTGCTTGTCCTGGTTGATCATCCTGGATTACAGCTCTCACCAACATACTTCTGCTAGGCTGCACCACCCTTCCTGTTCTCTCTTCCCCAACAGACACCCAACACAGTGGGGAAAACAAAGATAACCCTGGCCCCTGTTCTCTGAAGGAGAGGGAAAATTCTCTTCAGACTACTCTTCCCTGGAAGTCTGAAGCCAGCATGGGGATGGAGGGGGTTTCTCTTGAGGCTGACACTCCCACCCTGGGAAAGCTTTGGGCATCTGCATTCAGGAGATCCCCAACTTCTCTGCCAGATTTTCCAGGCAGGCCTGGTCCAGACCCCACGGGAGCAGCTATCTCTCCGGGGTCAGTGCTCTTTCACCCCTGGTTTTATTCTGCATTGGGAAAGGATGTGCACACCTCATCATCCGTTTATAGCCCCCACTACCTCAAAGTACTGGTTTTCCCCTCCGCATATTCTTAACTGCCTAGTTTCCTTCTCCTGAGTCATAGAAAAATTTCTCTTTTTTCCTTCATCTTCATAGTGCCTATGGTGAGTGAGAGAGCTGAGAATTCTTCTATGAAGCTGGTTGTTCGCTAGCAAGATCCCTGGTCCTCAAGTGTCAGGGGCCCCTTGGCTGTAGGAATTCACAAGAGAAGAGGTCCCGGAAGGTCATAAACTCTCTCTCCCTTGGCCACATTAGCTATGGTACAATTTCTTGGTCATTTTTTTCTCATACCTAACTCTACTCTTCTGTTATCTTTCTTTTTTTAGTGACATGTCACGACTTGTTTGCTTACTTGATAACCTGTCTCTCCTATTGAGGATAGTCCCTAAAAGACAGGAAACAACATCCATTATGTTCTCCACTGGACCCCAGTCTCAAGCACAGTAACTGGGACCCAGCCGACACTGAAGATAAGTCAGTCAATAACAGTTGGATTCAAGCAAATCCAACACAACTGAAACAAATTCTGCATCCTACAGCAGAATCTCAGCACAGAGCAGGAAATAGCCCAACCTGGGGATTTAGGGACTGTTTCCTAGAAATCTGAGTTTCAAAGACCCTACAAGCATTGACCAGACAGCGGGTAGGCTGTTGTCAGCCAAAGTTACAGTATTAGACAAAACCTTTACTGTCACCACCCATGTTCAAGAGTGGCGATCACAGGTGCATACACATGCAAACACACATGCCAGTCAGAATCCCATGCAAAGATACAATCCCCGCCATATTTGATCTAATTTACTGGAGAGGAGGGTCACCCAAGTCCAGCCGTATGTACATCTACTTAGAATCAAAGAACCGAGAAGGGAAAGGCAGAGTCTGGATAAACACTCAAGGGGAGAGTGGTACAGTAGTGAGAGAATCAGAGAACAAAGCAAAGGTATGGTGCGGGGAGACAGAGATTTGGGGTGAGAAAAGTAAGAGGGTTCCGGGCCAAAAGAACAAATGCTGAGGGCAGAGAGGACAAGCGCCTGTGGGTTCGAGAGAGGTCTGCCAGGCTGTGGTACTCAGCGTGGGGTAAGAGGAGACCCAGTGGAAAATGTGGGCGAGAGGCCTGGCACGTAGCTCAGTGGCAGAGCACATGCCTCACACATGTGAAGCCCTGGGTCCCTCCTCAGCATAGCAAAAAGAAAAAGAAATGGTTGAGAACTGACACAAAGGATCCTAAATGTTGCTATAAAGAGTCAGATCTTTATTCTGTAGGAAACAACCTACTGGGCATTGAGAGCAGGGCTGGAGAGAGCTCAGTCCAACTGTACTCAACCAGAGTGACCAGCCGGGGGCCGAACTCGAGGGTCACCACATGGTGCCCTGAGCACCTGGGGACTACTCAGTGGGTGCAGCCCCAAAATCCAAACAGAAAAACAAAACAAGAAAGTTTGGAGCAGAGAAGTGACGTGAATAAGCAAATCAATTTCCCCTACAGAGAGATCATTTCTGAAACACAGCCCATCCCTGTTCACCTCACGCCGCCTCCCTCCATTCTCACATGCCGCTGCCTTGGGCTTCCTCTTCTCATCCCACCTGAGCTCTGTCACTCCATTTCTCTTCACAGGAGAAGTCCAAGTGCCGCATTCCAGTCTGACACCCTTAATCGTCGGCTCAGAGCTCTCCTTAGTCCCAGCCTACCTTTGCCACACTCTTTCCTCTCCCTGATTTCTTGTCATGTTAGTATCTTGCTGGTCCCCTAGAAATGCTCATCCCCTTCTCTCTGTCCCACTCTGGAACGGGACTTCATCTTTAAAGTCAGTCTAGAGCCTCACTTCACCGACCCGCCCCTTCTCCTCCACACACACTGACCCTCCCTCCTCTGAGCCACTGCAGGTCTTGGTGTCTGTTCCAAGACTCAGGATCATCTCCTTTCTCAGCCTTGTCTCTAACTGCACCCATAAATGTGTCGCAATTACCCAGAAGTGTTGGGTTAGGAGGAGACCATCCTCAGGGCTATCAGGTTTTTTTCTGAGTGTTCCTCCCCCACAGTATAGTCTCTGGGGAAAGAATTTTTGGGGTCTTGAAAGCAACACCTGAGGCACAGAAGTGGGGACAGAAAGAAAGGATGGAGGAGGAAGGAAGGAAGGAAGGAAGGAAGGAAGGAAGGAAGGAGGGAGGGAGGGAGGGAGGGAGGGAGGAGGAAACGGAAGGAGAAAGGGAAGAAAGGGAGGGAGGGAGGGAGGAGAAAGGAAGGAAGGAGGAAGGGGAGAAAAAAAGAAGAGTGGGAGGGAGGGAGGAAGGAGGAAAGAAGGGAGGCACGAAGGCAGGCAGGGAGACAGGAAGGAAGCAGTCAACTCAGAAAGCTTCTCTTTACTCTTGCCCTTCATTGAGGGAGGTGTGTGGGAGGGTGTTCCTGGGGGCGCTTGTGAGAGCTGGAAAATCTCCAAAGAAGGAGGCCCACCTCCCCCTCCTTCAAGTCCAGCATAAGTGATACCTGGAAGGCCTCTTTGAGGGCCTGGGCCTGTTCCTGGGTGCGGTTGTCCTGCCATGGCCGGCCAGGAGAGCGTGTGGGGCCTGCGCGGAGACTCTCCCCGAAGACGTCCAGGTAAAAGAAGACGTAGTCTCCATTGGTCAGGTTCTCCCTCTGGGCCTGAAGCAGGATCTCATGCAGCATCTCCAAAGGGCCACAGATGTACACAACTGGGAGCGGGCACAGGATAGAAGGGCACCGTGAGAGCGAGTCCAGCCCCCAGCAGACCCCTCTCAGGACCATCTGTGTCTCCCTCTCTAGCCAGGAAGCATGAGCCCTCTCCCCTCTGCCAGATGCTCCTCTGTCAGGAGCACCCTGAGGCAATGCCGGCCATCTGGCAGGAGGCAGAGCCCCACTCCAGACCCTTGAGAGAAAGGGCTGTCAACTTGAAACCCCCCTCTTTCTAGAGGCTGCTCCCCATCCACCCCACCCCATCTTCCCCTCCCTGGGCTCCAAGTGCTCCGAGCATCTGTGTGGGACCCCTGCCTGTCTTTCCCAGCCAAAACTGCCACCCCTGGCCACTTTCATGCTGACCTCGCTATGTCTCTACCACTGAGAGTCCACGTGCCTCCGTGTCTGCCCACTTATGTATTTTAAATACATAAAGGGGCTACTCCCATCTCAGTGCTTGAGCCTGGCTCCCACTGCTGCTCAGGGGACCATGCAGTGCAGGGGACAGACCCCAGACCTCCCTCATGCAAAGCTCATGCTCCAGCCCACTGAGCCTTCTCCAGAGCCCAGATACACACTTTGGTGTGGCATCAACCACATTTCACTACTCTAGGTACATGCACTGCTCCCCCAAATTCAATATTCCCTCCAAATCTACAGTCTCTCTCAACAGAAGCCACCACCCCTCAAGCAAACCTGCCCTGGCGTCCATCTGCCCTGAGACCCACTGTCCCTCCAATCCCCATTATAGCCTGTCACAGGTGTGCGGTTCAGCCCCCCTCCCCATGCCCTCACCCCTAGCACCACACACAGCCCCTCAATGCCTCTCTCGCGGCCTGATTGACTGTTTCCCAGGGAGGCAGTGGCCCTCCTGCTGGACCCTGCCAGCCAGGGGGCTACACTCACTGCGGCCGTTGGCCCGGATGAAGTGCGTGGCCTGCTCCGGGCCTCCCGGCTCGCGCGCATACACCAGATGTTGCACCGTGAGGTTGCTCCCCTGGAGAGCCTCGAAGACGCCCTCAATGGTGAAGTAGTGAGGCCGGTCATCGGTGCGCGCGTCCAGGTACAGCAGGGCAGCACGGGCCGTCCAGTTGAAGTGCCCGTGCAGCGTCACCACAAACTCCCCCAGCTTGGGTGCTGAGGGACCCGTGCGCACCAGGGTGCGATAATGGTCATTCTTAGACGCAAAGCCAGAGGCCACGGCGCCCGCTGTCAGCAGGGGAAGGTTCCAGTGGGAGGCGAAGCGGGCCACGGAGGCCGCGGGATACACGCACCCAGGGCCCAATAGCAGGTCGGGGTCGTGGTACAGCTTGAGGTCCACCGCGCGCAGCGGCGCCAGGTACTCAGAGCAGACACCCTGCAGTTCCGAGCTGACCACCCGCAGCTCCATCGGCAGCGCCCGGCCCAGCGCCTCCATGGCCAGGGCCACAGCAGGACCCACGCGGGGCCAGGCCCAGGCATAGCTCAGATTGCGTTCTGGCAGCACCACGGCCAGGGTCAGGTTCCGCGCCCCGGGAGGTCGCACCCCACCTGCCAGGGCCGCCACCAACAGCAGGAGCGATGGCAGGGCCATGGGGAGCGAGCGGCAGCCCTCCGGGCCCTGGCACCTGGGGCACCTCTGGCCTAAAGGGGAGCCACGGGCACCACCCCCACCACCCAGCCTGGAACCTGGGGAAGGGCAGCCGAGCTGGAGAAGCTGGGTGGGCTGGCACCCAGAAAGGGCTGTGGGGGAGAGGCAGGGGGCAAGCGGAGGGGAGCCCCCCACAAGAGCTGGGGAGCCTAGGACCAGGACTGGGGGGCAAAGGGAAGGTGGCAGGATCAGGGAGGGGTCAAGGTGGGGTGCCTGGGCCCTACAGTGGCCTGATGGATCTTAAGCTGAGCAGGAACGGGGACGCGAGCTGGGGGTGGGCTGGGGGGTAGCAGGGAGGCCGGTACAAAGGAAGGGGCCGGCAGGGCGGAGAGCGGCGCGCAGGAGGCCCCGGGGGGACGGAGGTGGGGTGGGGGTCAGGTGGGAGCGGGCGGGCGGGCGCGGCGGAAGGACGGGGACCCCGGGCGGCGGGGAGCCAAGCGAGGCCTGGGCCGCGGGGCCGGGAAGGCAGGGGCCGAGCTCCGGCGCAGGCGGCTCCCGACGCTCCGGCCGGGGACGAACGGGCCCGGGCGCTGGCTCCCTCCGGCGCGTCCCGGCTCGGCTGCCGCGTCCCCCTTCCCCGGCCGCGCGTCCCGGGCCCGGGCGCCGGCGCTGCCAGCCGCGGCCTCCCGCCCGCCCCCCGCCTGGGCCCCGCCGCTCGTCCCCGCTCGGCTGGCCGCGGCCCGGCCCGTCTCGCTCGCTGCGCCCGCGGCGGCGGCCGAGGGTGACTCCCCGGGCAGGCCGCCCGCGCCCGCCCCGCGCCCCTCCCCGCGCCCCACCCTCCGGCGCCCGCGGCCCCCGCCCCCCGCCGGGGCCTGCAGCGCTGCCCGGGCCCGAGCCCGGGGCGCCCCCTACCCCGCGCCGCCCCGCAGCGCTCTCGCCGTCTCCCTCATTCCCGGGACGAGCTCGGGGTCTCGGTGCCCGCCGCCCCCCGCGCCGCGCGGACCCTGCTCCCGAGCTTCTCCCGCGCGCGGGGCTGCGCTAACGGGCCAGGTCCCATGGGTGGTTGGGGGGGCTCGGGTCCCTCACCAGCCCTGCTCCCGGGGAGCCTGACCTCCTCTTCGCGGCTCTGACCACACTGTCCCCCACCCCGGGTCTCCAGTGGCTGATTTTGGAGAGCCCACGAGTGCTCCGGAGCGCTCAGCCCACCACGCTCCCCAGGTGCCGTGCCAGGCCCCTCGCGTGCCAGCCACGTCCTCAGAGGGCCCCCCCCACCCCCGCCCAGCCCACCACGTGCTGGGGCGGACGCCCACACGGCCTCTCACTTCCTTTGTACCCCGCGCGTCCACCCACCCCGCGGTCCAGCTCGCACCTGAGACAGGCTCACAGATGGACCAGGCAACGGGCCCCGAGGGTGCCACCCCGCTCCCACGCTCCGTCCTCCTTAATGTCCCGCCCCACCCCAGATACCCCATATCTGGAGGGGCTGGACTATTAGCAACTTGCAGGGGGATGAGATCATGCTTGCTGGGAGGGTCTGCTATGGGACCTTGGGGACTTGGTTCGAACTGTCATTGAGACGCACATAAGCTCTTCCCCTCCCCCTGTCACAGCTGGTGTCCCCCTTCCAACCACTTCCCCAGAAAGCAGGGTGCCAAGACGTGGAGATTCGCTTTGGAAAGGGTGGGGGGGGGGGGGGGTTGGGAGCGGGAGTGGGGGGGGATGGGAGAGCAGGGAGGCGGGAGGAGCCTGCGGAATTTCTCCGAGATGAAGGCGACACCTAGTGGTAGAGAGAAATTAAGACTTTTATTCTTAGGGAAGATGCTGCTTTTATTGAACGTCCCAGAGCTGAGGGAGAGAAAACCGGAAAGATAACATCCCTACCTTTAAGGAGCTTACAGTTTCACTTCCTGGGGGAAAGACAAGCCTCAAGCCTAGTAGAAATGGAAGCTCCTTGACCATGGCAGCAACTCCAGCTCCCGACACTGTTGATGAGGAGGAATCTTATTTTGATCGGATCGAAGGGAGAAAGGATGGCATAGTCCAAAGGGCACTGAGAGGGGTCGGAGGGATAGCAAGATCTTGGGTTTCATTCACAAACTGCAAGAGCACCCAGCCGCACCAGGAGCTACCCTAAGCACAGAGGTGGGAGTCACTGCTGAGGGTCACTCCAAAATAAAAGTCAGTGGGAGAGTTCAAAGGGCATGGTCTATGTGCAGACCCGAGTTAGGTGATACCACAAGGTTCTCCAGGTCCCACTGGGTGCAAGTACAGCCAGGTATGATAAAGGACTGTGGGGCCAATGAAAAATAAATGGACCAAGCTTGACTTCCAGTGATCAAATACAGATGGTCCAGGGCTAACTTAGCAGTGGTTCAACTTTATTCATTCATGGGACGAGAGGGGGCCGTTGGCACACCCAGCAATGCCAGGGATTGAACCTGGGCCTTTCACACTCCAGCCCTTTGAGCCATCTCCCCAGCGCAGGATTTTTCAATTTTACAGCAGCACAAAAGTGACACACATACCATAGAAATTGTACTTTGAATTTGGGGAACTTGGTTGTCACTGTTATTTGGGAGCCACTCCCAGCTGTGCTCAGGGCTTACTCCTGGCTCTGAGCTCAGGGATTACTTCTGGCAGGACTGCGGTGAGGGTTTGGGGGGAAAGGACAGTATATATGTTGCCAGGGACCAAACCTGGACCTGCCGCATGTAAAGCAAGTATCCTACCTGCTGTACTGTCCCTCTTGCCCCTGTACCTTGAATTTTGATGTTTATTCTGGGCTTGATACTGTGCAGACACCACCTACAATTTCTTCTGGCCCAGCCCAGGCACTTCGGCAGGTGTTCTGATCCAGAATTAAACAGTCAGGCATCAGGTCAGCTGCTAGAAGCTGCTGTGGTTACCAAGTGACCCTGTTCCTTCATTTTTTATTTATGTGTTTGTTTGTTCATTTGTTTGGGGGGGCACATCCAGTTGTGCTCAGAGCTTATTCCTGGCTCTAAGCTTAGAGCCCTGTGGAGCTCAGGGGATCAAACCTGGGTCAGCCATATGCAAGGCAAGTGCACTACCCATAGTACTATCACTTTGGCCCCTGCCCCATTCCTTAGTGCAATGAAATCCTAATCCCAGTCCCTCTCAGGTCAGAGGAGTCTCAAGACCCTCGTTGAGTCCTAGGACCACATGGGCAACAGGCTCATGCTAATCTCTGTGGCAGGCTCTGTGATGCAAACTGAGTCCCTGTTCAGCCCAAAGACTTTTTTAACTTAACCTGATTCCACAGCTAATTCAGGACCCTTAGCTTTGCTCTGCATCCATCCAGGTCACCCAGGTCTAGAGGATTCCAGAGAAATAAATGCCTTCTAAGATTCTTTCTACTTGGTTAATCCTGGGGTAAAAAGATTTTACTTTATGTGATCATCTCTCCTGCACAAAAGATATACAACACCCCTCTGGAAAGAAAGATGGCGGCTGCATGGGAGCCTTGTGGAGAGCAGGTATGAGCCGGGGGTGTGGGGGCGACTAAAACCTCATGGGAAGGGGGGCATTCCGGCTCGTCCTTCACGCCCTACCGAGGTCACCAGTTGCCCCCCACGGGCGGCTCTCCGGCACGGCCATGACTCCAGAGCACAGAAACCAATCTATTAATTATCTGACTTTCAGTAGAAATATTTCCAGGGTTAATAAGTAAAATAGCAGAAATCCAAAACCGCGCGGCCGCGACAACATTTAATTCTTGAACCCAGCTGTAGAAAGCAAATCATTTCACAATGCTTTTTCAGCATGTCTGATTTGAGGGGTGGGGGTAAACTCTAAATAATAATGGTGCATCTTTTATCGAAACAATGAATCTAGTCAAAGTAGATAGAGTGTTAACTAGAATTCATCTGCCTCACAGGCATTGGGAGGGGTGGGGGGTGGGGTTTTTTGGGGTTCTTCGTGGTAAAAAATAAGTATTGGTAAAGGGAAATGTGTTTGATATTTGCATGACTGAGACCTAAACCTGAAAGCTTTGTAACTTTTCCCACAGTGATTCAATAAATAAATAAATTCACTTAATCACTTAATCACTTAATCCCCATTATTCATCGATTTACTCGAACGGGTGCCAGTAACGTCTCCATTCATCCCAGTTGCGTGCTAGCGTAGCCCAATGGTATCTGTTTGTTCTAGGAACATGCAGAGCCTCAAACCGATCATTCAGGGTCTTGACGAAGAAGTCTGACCATCTTGTAGGTGGGCGTCCACGTGATCTTTTGATGTCCCGTGGAATCCAATCAGTAATGGCTCTAGTCCAGCGGTTGTCTGTAAACCTCATTACGTGTCCAGCCCATTTGATTTTTGATGTCTTGGCAAATGAGACAGCGTCCCTGATTCTTGAGCATTGACGAAGATCAGAACTCCAGATTCTATCTCTCATTTGAGTGAATCGTGATATTCCAAGCATAGCTCTTTCGATTCCTCTTTGAGAGACCCGAATAGCGTTCTCATCCTGTTTTCGTAGGGTCCAGGTCTCTGAGGCATATGTTAATGCAGGAAGAACAGTGGAATCAAAGAGATGTGCTCGTAGCTGGAGGTTCTTTGTTCTTTTAGTTATTTCTTCAATGCTCTTGAAGGCATTCCAAGCTGCTCTCTTCCTCCTGCGCAACTCAGGTGCCAGGTCATTCATCATGTTGATTTCTCGACCTAGGTATATATAACTGTTGCATTCGGAGATGGTGGTTTCGTTGAGATGGTGGAGCGTCAGGAACAAGGCTGTTTCTCATAAACATTGTCTTCGTAAGATTCAGCTGTAGTCCGACCTTTCCACATTCACGGTCAAAGTCGTTCAGCATTTGTGCCACTTGGCTGATGTTTGGTGTTATTAGAACGATGTCATCAGCAAAGCGGAGGTGGTGTAGTTGCCGACCATCTATCTTCACTCCCATGCTTTCCCATTCCAGTCGTCGCATGATGTTCTCGAGGGTGGCACTGAAGAGTTTTGGTGAAGTGGTATCACCCTGCCGAACCCCTCTCTTGATATGGATGATTACTTCTTTGTAGAATGGTGATATCCTGGTAGTGAATCCGCAATAGAGCTCATGAAGGATCCTGATGTATTGAGTTTGTACGCCCTGATTGGTTAGGGCTTCCATGACCGCTTCCATCTCAA